CACACACACACACACACACACACTAAGACACCACATTGAGTTTGCTCTTTTTTTTTTGTACCTGACCTCTGTCATCAGTGCCTGTTAAAATCAGGCAGGAGGGAGGACTGAGGGAACAATCGGCTGATTCATCTGCCTTTATGTCACACTGGTGGGTCCCCCCTAACTCTTTCCCCCTCTCTCTCTCTCTTTCTCTCTCTCTCTCTCTCTCTCTCTCTCTCTCTCTCTGAGCTCCACACCCATCCCCTCTTCCCCTGCCCACCCAAAACGGTGCTCCTCCCTATGTTGGTTCCTTCCTCTTGTTTTGGGCCGCTGCACACAGGGGCCCCAGGCTTGTCCCTGTCCCGAGCCCATCCTCAATGGATCCTCTGTCTGACCCCTTCCGCCTCCCCCTCCATTCTCTCCGTCTCCCTAAACAGGATAATCAGAGCCACAGCAGCGTATGATCAGCCGCAGCTCATTATACAGGAACGTACGAGCCTTAATCAGCGAACAGTACATTACATAATGTGATGTTGGATCATTGGAGTCACCCGCTGCTGCTATTGTGAAGCTGACATGTGATGCAGGTCTCATGTTCAGGTGGTTATTTGTGGTGTGTTTGCTATTGTCTGTTTGTTTGTGTGTCAGTGTGTGAGTACACTGACATTTCCTGTTGTTTCATGACATTAACAGTAACAGTGTACTGCAAGGTGTGTCAGTACACTGTGACATCACTGTTGGGTGCAGTTAAAGGTGCAAAAGAGCGCAGGAGAGGTCAAACTTTCAGCCAGAGAGGGCAATGAAGCACTGCTTCTCAGCCTGGTGGGAATAAAGTCTGTTATACTTCCAGTAAAGCCAGTGTAACAGATTTCTTTTAGCATATAGCACGCAAGCAAATCACACGAGACTGACAACTTCATTTTAAAGTAACAGATGTGACTCTTACATGTCACACTATCTGCCGCGTCAGGATGGCACCCAGAATTGTTCTCTCACACACACACACACACACACACACATCCTGACCCTGCCCCCTTCTTTCTTTTCTTCTATAAAGTTCATGTACACTCTTTGTTCGATGTTAGTCTGCAGTTGCACTCTGTGTGACTGTCCACTGATCCTTTGCAAAGCTCTTATTAAAATATATAAAGACAACTTAATCATTTTGTCAACTGTTCATTTTCAGATTTCCACCACACTTTGCAGACCTTTAATTCCAGCGTCATTAAAGACTTTTGCAATAATTAGAGAACTGCTCTCCTCTAGCATTGAGGATGAGACTAAAAGAGCGATAAGCAGCATGTCACAGTAAACACTTACTCATTCCATGTCTGACATATATAAATTACAAATATTGCAGCGATTAATTTGTAAACCCGGATGTCTGCTTGGGAAATAAAAGTATAGTACAGACACATATACACACAGGCTGACAGAGGTTGTGGCAACATGTATACAGTGTGTTTACATACAATCTTTATGTGATTATTGTAACCAATTTCAGAATCTAAACAAGATTAAGGCCATAAAATAGGCATTAACATTATTAGTATCAAACCTTATAGCATGATTTATAACTTATGAATTCATCCATCTGCCTGAAAGTTTTTATTTATTTATTTATTTATTTGGGGGGGGGGTGGGTAAAGGCAAAATATCGTGAAAATATTCTCAAATATTTAAATGAGTTGAAAAAACTAAATGAATACAATATTTTCTGTACCACAGGTTGCAACAATACAACCTTCTGGAAAGGAGCTCGTGTTTCCGCAAACCATGAAAACATCCACTTGTATCGTGACCTTAATGTGATTATTTTGATAACACTTGAGGTTGCTGGAAACAGAGAGGTATGAGGAAGGCGGGTCGTCAGCGGTGGTGGGGTGGGGTGGGGAGAGGGAGAGGGAGAGGCATTGCTAAAATTCCTCTGTGGAGTGAGGAGGATATTTATCGACTGTGTATCAAACAGGACGGCTCCATCGGTTTCAACCAAGCATGTGCTTCACCATGCAAAGTCGATGGCTTCAAAAACCACAGTTTACGTCTTAGAGAAAAGACGTGGTACAGTTAAATCTGCAGTTTTTCTGTTCCTCCCTCTTTTCTATGAGATGACTCAAGAATAAAATACTTGGTGCTGCAGTCAAGGTCATGATCCTCCTCTGTGCTTCAAAACAAACTGTACAGGCTTTAGTGGTAAAAAGCAAGAGCTGCCTGAAAATCCAGAGCATCCAGGAAGGTTTTTGCTCACCAGAAGCGATAAATGTCTGAATTCATAGGCAACCATTTTGATAATCATTAGCATTACCTTTCTTTGTCTTTTGTGACTGGAAACTAAATGTCTTTTGAGTTTTGGACAAAACAAGGAACGTCTCCTTGGGCTTCATGAAGTTGTGACGGCCATATTTCACTCTTTTCTCACATCTTCTAGTCTAAAAGATCAATCAGTAAATTAAAAAATGATTGATCGATTGATGGATAATGAAGGTAATCATTAGTTGCAGCCCCTTTCATCACTTTCTATGATTGTTTAACAGGTTTGTAGTCAGATTTTGCTTAAATTGCAGTTATATGAGGTGTTCCTGTGCACAGAAATTACAGGCAGCAGTCTGGATGTGTTACAACATGTTAACCAAATATGCTCGGTGTCATTTCAGCAGAAGAGACTAGAATCATGTCTGACATCTTCACTTCTCCAGTCACCATATATCCACAAATCCGTCTCATCAGTCTGACTGTTAAACTTCACAGCACTTAGCTCCCAAACTGAACAATAATAAAATTCCCTGACACCAATAATCTCAAGTTGTAAAACTATTTCTACAAATGCAGTAAAATGATCGCTTATCTCTTTGATATCGCAGTGCTTTGGCTGCTGATCACCTTTTATTGATTTTAGAAAGAGAGCACAACAACAAAGGAACAATGATTGTATTTGGGTGGACATTGCAGACATTGTGACGACCAACCTCCTACACACAGACGTTTTGTCAGTGGTAGGAACGTGGGGCAACGTACACAAACTGTATCTCCGATCTCCCCCCTGTCACAGCTGGAATCACAACACACAATAGTCGTACTTAAGTCAGACGACTAGCAGCTTTGAAGCTCTTCATATCTCCCATTCCAGTGTCACTGGCAAAATACGAGGGAAAACGCTGCCACCGCGATGATACCTGTGATAACAGCTCAAGGCTTAACAAAACATCCAACTGCCACACAGATGATGTCAATTCAGTGGGAAACAACTGCACAAACACGCCAGTGTGTAAAAACACGAGCAAACGACACACGCTCTTGTGAAGTGAACAAGAACGAACAAATGTAGCTATGATTCAAATCTTGACCAGATGTTAAGCCCTTTGTGCCTTCTGCCTCACTTCACCTCTCCCTCAGTGTCATATGACCTTCCCGGTGACCTTTCAGGAAGAAAGACGGGCCACAAAACCTGACCCGTTGACCTCTTGCCTATAAAAAAAAGTCAATAAATCCAATAGGTTATACGAGGCGTGAATAGAGCAGGTGGCGAAACATACACAGTCATTAGTAGGCTCTTTCCAAATATTCATTCACACAGAGCTGAGCAATTTACACAAAGGCAACAGTGCAGAGTCGGCAAGATGCCTCAGATGATGGCACCTGGACCCCAACATACTGCATGGCTGACGAAATGAGAGGCGCATGTTGACTGATGCGTACACAGTCATTTTAGTTCCTGTATTTGTTTCAGTGGATGAAGAGTGGATGAAGCATAAAGCTGGTTTATGATCTGGTTTACATTCACTGATTTCAGCCTCTCTAATGTTTGGATATCCTGTTCTTCTCTCCTTAATAAACTGAATGTCTTTTTTGTATGTTATTGCAGGTTGGTTTTTCTGTTGCTGATGTTTTTCTTGACGAAGCAATGAACTGAAAACACCACCACCAGACTGATGGATAATAAAAAAAAAAGCTGTCTGTTTCAGATGTATTTGAAGGAAAATCCTCTGACCCTAACACATCTGCACATGATGGGAGAAAGAATATTGTCATAATGTTAAATTCTGCTAGTGGATTTAAATAATGAGTTTATAGTGAGTTTTACAATAACACGGTTCTGTTTGATATTTGTGTTTTTACACATTATTCCCTTTTTTCCTATATTTCTTTCAATTTTCTTGATGCTTACCCTTCATAGGGAAGCCATTCAATGCAGTTCTAATTTTCAGCTGTTATGGCTGTACGTGTTTTAAATTTGCTGTAATTTTTTTATTTTGTTGTCTACTTTACATATGCACAAGTAGAATTAACAGAAAGCTGTCATTTTTAGTGTTCAAGTTTTGCTGTCATTTTTGTAAAGAGACTTACTGAAATATCATTTAGGAGTCTTATATTTTGAAGTATAAAGGTAAGTGAAATTGTGATTATTTGGGGGAAAAGAACATGAAAAGTGCAGCACAAATGAGTGCAATCAAAAGTCACCTATGAGCCTGTTATTGTAAGTGTGTTACAGTCTAATTCAATAACCCATCACTGCTCTCTTCAAAGCTGTGCTTGGCCCATGACCAAAGTATAAAACACACATATGTGGTTGTTGGTTTTCCAGAGTGTTGCTGAGTAACACCATGAGCCCAGGTGGCTCGTGAGGCTGTAAATCTGCTCGTGGGCTGAGCTGCTGTAGTTTTATCACCGCGGGACTGCAGCCGACTCGACCCATTACTCAGCAAAAACGGCGTAAGGCGCACATGGAGCCCGCGCGCTGCGGCACATAACTGACGCGCACCAAGAGAGGCGCAGCAAATTTAGAGGGGGGGAGGAGGGGAGAGAGAGGGGTGGGGTGACGACAGGTATGTTTACAAACACGCAGGCAAACTGACTGATGTAAAATCGCCTCAATCGGTAACAGCAGTGTTGTGCGACATAACATTGCAGTTTCGGGGTTTGTCTCCGTGCCCAGTGTTCGGGGGGGTGGGGGTGGGGGGGTCTGCTTGGCAGGGACAGGGACAGGGACAGGGACGAAAAGGCATCAGTAAGGGCGGTACCTTGCTGTCGAGGACGCTGCCTTCCTCCTGGAGCACCTTCACCTCCGAGGCTGAAGCTGAAGCTGAGGCTGAGGCTGAGGCTGACGCATCCTCCTGGCTCTTCCCGTCCTGCTGCACTGAGCTCTCTGCTCCCATGGCGCACAGTCACGAAGGTGAACTCTTGTCGTCTTTGGCTGCTGTCGCAATCACACAACAAACCCTCCACTGCACAAACGCGACCAGGATGGCACGACTGCGTTTAAAGAAAGCGAGTATCCAAAGCGTTCAGCTCGACAGTGCAGCTCCGCCCCGGGGTGGCCTGGATCTGGAGTGATGAAGTGTGAGGACCAGCAAACTCTTGTAGGACACCCCCACCTCCTCCTCCAACTCCAACACCTCCCTTTCAGTATCACATGGGGCTCCGGTACGGCACGGCACGCCTTGCAGCATCAGAGACGGTGCTGATGGAGGACACACACACACACAAACAGACTGTGAGAGAGGTGAGAGAGGAGAAGGGTTAATAAATGAAATGAAGGCTTTATAACTCTTATTACTGTTTATTCGCCTTAAGCAGAAATTACATCCATTCTTAGAAATTGGTAAATTAAATTAGAATGCTTATAAAACACACATCTCTGACACATGGGGAGAAGGTCTGCAGGAATCCTCTGCAAACACCAAGCCCCTGGGGAGAGAAGAAACTTTTAAATAATACATTAGGAATAAAAAAAGGTATGTGCTTTGTCACATGATGTAAGAAGAAAAAAAGAATTGTATAGAAATACACACATTCTTTCAAGGGGCACACAAACAGGTGTCAGATATAGCCTATAGACTTTATACTTTTATTGAACTTCATTATAAATGAGGTTATTGTATTCTTAACTCACCAAATTTATCTGATTGCAGTCGTGAGCAGAATAAAAGTTTCATGTAAAAAAACACAAAATAAGATCTGGAAATGATGCATAGTCGGATCTTAATAGTCTCCTCAATCAGCTTCTTAACTAATGTGAACCTATATAACCACTTTTGGTTATTTCACATGAGAAATCTCTGCATTTATGTTACAATGTGTGCAGTAAGACAGCTGCGGGGTTGTTTGCTCATGCTGCCAGGCCACTGTCAATTAAATCAAATGAGATCAGCCACACCCCACACAGTCCTCATGCAGCAGATTAGCCGAGGATTTGATGATTAAGCTCTTCATATAAAATATCTAACTATATATCCACATTATCTTTGACCATTGCTTATTTTGTCATGACTAATGTTAAATAAATAGCGATAGGGGGCTTTAAAGTACAATGGATGCATTGATTTTTATTATATTAACTATTTTTCAGTTATAGTTAAAGCTGCTTAAAAGGCTATAAAACACTATATCATCTCTCTGTCTCTGTCTCCTCCCATCTCTCTCTTGTGGTTAACAAGGTCAGGTAACATCTGCTACAACATGCAAATCCACTTCTGTGGTAATGTGGTCGGACTGCTTCACATCACAAAGCCTGCTCCGTTTTCTTGTGGTTTAGGTAAAAACACATTTAAACATAACAATCACAACAATTTTTCACTAAATTTTTCTCTTCATGTGGAGCTTTTCTCCTGTCTGTTACTCTACATTGATGCTGAAGATGGTATCTCTCATTTCAGTTTGCTTCAGTCAGCCTCGTAAATTAAACGTATGATCAAAAAAATGTAACTATAATCTAATTTTAATCCCCTAATCTAACCTCTCTATCTGACATACTGCACATATGTTATGCTATGTTGATACAGTTTGCCATGGTTCACTGTACTGATAGTGCCTCATGAGGTGTGTTAGTGTGGAGCACCTCTGCCTCTCTGATGGGGAGATGTTGTTCAGGTTTAGATGTTAATTGCAGGTTGGGCCATGTATTTTGTTTGGAATTTTAGAACGCACAAATTACAGCCCGAGTGCTCAAAGCCAAGTTCACACAGGCCGAGACTGAGGGTCCGTGCCGCTGAACCAAATCCAGAACCCAAACACACACACGTCAACAACACAAACACTTTTTATTTATATTGCAAGTTTCAGTTTCTGACTTGGATACTTGATTGACCCGGACTTATAAATACTTAAAACAGCTCTGCTCTCAAGCTTGTATTATTTACAGTAAAACACAATGCAAACATTTCACTTATAACATTCTGTTTGTGGATAAATAAAACCAATGGACACAGGTCCTGTCTGTTACTTCAAAGTTGAAGCGAGCACATGCTGTTACAGCAACCAGCGACATAAAGCTTTCTGAGAGTTTATAGTCAAATTACTGTCACGTAGTTCAGTATTCCTGTCAGCCTTTTAACTCAAAACAAGAATCTGTGGCATTAAAGATCCTTCTATGTCTACAGTGTAGACTAGATTAGTATCACTGGCACATGGAAATCTAATTATATAAATTGTAATGTTATCAGGTCAAACTAACCACAAACACATGATGATCTAATAGGAATATCTGATGCACACAATCAATGTACAGGCAATAGACGGAGAACTCTCTGTTCAGCATTTTTGTTTCCTTGTTGATGTAATAGTTGGTCTGCTGATCTTTACATGTGCGGTTCTCAGAGTCAGGAAATGAGGTGGCAGCTCACTGGCTCTGTTGCATGGGGTTTCACTAACAGATCTTTTATCTGATTTCCACCTCTAAAGATACTTTAGGTTAGCTTCATCATTATTACACCTTCTCAAACATGACATGACAGAAGTCACATGACAGAAGTCTGTTGTTGTGTTTTGTAAACACTAAAGTGGTTTTAGTTAGTTAGTTAGAAAGTGCACATTTATACAGGTGACACCTTTGTTTACATTAATGTTGTGCAGATTTGATATTCCATTGATAACAAAAAGGTTCTTCAACTAGTAAAACAACTTAATGAAAATGACATTTAAACTCAAAATAGAAATGCATATTTCAAGCTTGCCTGATGCTACTACAGATATAGATCTGTGATATTTCCACAGGAATGTAATTCACAAAACAAACATGTCGGGCTGCTTCCCTCCACAGTTAAAATCTGAAGTTAAAATCTGAGTTCATGCTCACTCTGCAAGTCCATCAGCCAGTTCAATGTTTTTACCTGATATGTAAAGATGTATTTCTCAATTCTTACTGGTTAATATTTGGTAGGATATGTCAGAATCTCAAACATTAGTAGCCTAAGCACTGGACTATTAATCTTTCTACAGAGCACGAGATGAGATGTAACTTCAATTGTCAATTTCTGGATTAATACAAACATCTGTCAGGACATTAATGCCTAAATAACATGCCTTTAGTTAATATCTAAATTTTGAAAAACAAAAATGTGTAACTTTTAAGAAGACTTACTGCACACAGAAAGTATTACAGTGTTAATGTGGAAAGTGGAAAATGGAAAGCAACCGATACCGGCTGTCCCTCATGACACCAACAATTTCACTGAGGCTGCAGAGTAGGGGACTGTTGTTACACTGCTCTGCTCCCAGGGGTGCATGTGAAGAAGGATGTTTATAACAACAGAATCTCTAAATCCTCATGAAAAAAATCTCTCATCGCCTTTGTGGCACAAAATGATCTCGGACTAGTGAAGCAGCATATTGTTAATTCATTATTCATACAAAATTACAGAATAATTTCACACGGAAAGGAGTGAACCAAGACAGGGAACCTCATTACAGTTGTAGAGTACATGTAGATTGATGAGTTAGTCAGTGACCTTCAGCATGGCAGGCCTATCAGCAGTAATGCTGATGTCATCTAAAAGACGGGGGGTGGGGGTGGGGGGGTGCAACATGGGGGAGGGAGGTTCTCATTAAAGTGAAAGCCTTACCGGACATGCCATGGTCTTCATTCAATAAAACAGGGATGTAAGGGCACATTAAAGACATGCTTACACACACACACACACACACACACACACACACACACACACACACACACACACACACACACACAGGCGACAAGGTTCAGTGACCTTCACACAAAAATACTTTATTTCTTTCACACTTACTGTAGCCTACTATTCTCCCTCTAAGGGAAATGGGAATCCACTCAAGGACCTTTGTCCAAATACAACAGGCCTGTTGTGTTGTGCTGTTCACTGGCAGTGAATTTCATTCTCAGAGGACTTCTAGTTGATACACGGATTGCATATTTAAAATAAAAAATGTAACAGTGAAATGTTGGGAAATGCAGTGTTTTTCAGACAAGACAGGGTGAGTAGAAGAATGTAGCCCTGAGGGTTGATATCTGGTGAGGGCAGCATGTGGGAGCTCGACACATAGATACTTTGTCACAAGCAGTGAATGAACGGTTTTACTCCAAAACAAGATGGGTGAAAATGATTGTCACCAAACATTGCATGATGTAAAACAGGCGTTAACACAGACCTTTACCCAAAAACTGCACTGTGAAGACGAAACCCAGTTTTTCTGAAATGCTGAGTATACATGTTTTTCTACAAAATAGATATTAACACTTTTCAACTGGATAGTACCATGTAAAATAACGCAACAACAAGTTATTCTGAGCTAACAGTTATCAGGGCCAAGGAATGTGAGGGACATTAGAAAAACTGCTTTGACAAAAACGTAATGTTTACAGACTCTACAGACTAGATGGCCAACCAGTTCCCCTCTGCTGGAATACCACCTGACCCCAGGTTTTCTGTTTGTGAGTTTGTTTGTGATAATTGGATGAAACATAACTTTATTTTGAAAAATTCACCATGTGAACAATATAAACAGGGCAACAATTTTATATAATAATGCAGGACCCAGTGGCTATTGTACTTAAGTGGTGCAAATTTGCAAGTAATGAAATCAACAAAAGGCAAAATGAGATACTGAATCTGAGACGTTTGCCTGCTTTGCCCACTTGATATTCAGGCCTTGAATCAGCAGAGCCATTTTCCAGCTGGAGTTACACTCAGACATTCAAAAGGACCTGTCCTTGGTACTGAAATTAGCCAGTCTATTAAATATGAGTGCTAAAAGACAAGAGCTTTAAGAACCTGAGGCTTCAGCAGAGCAACTCAGAAGCTCAACATAAACAACTCCAACCTGACAAAACTGGGATTTTCCAGCACATTACAAAGCAATGACGAAGCCCCCTCCTCATCAACACCACATCTTCAAATCTGTCATCAGCTCAAAACAAGAGGCTTCAGTCTCTCTCTCTCACACACACACACACACACACACACACACACAGTAAATATGCCGTTGGAGCACCAGTGTATAAATGAGAGCATTCCTGCAGCATTGACTGTAGTTAAAGCGCCAGATCCTGCCTGGTGAACAGAGAATAACAGACTGAGCAGGTGTGGAACGCCAGCTTTGACAGGCACACACATGTGCACACACGTACATTGGCTCCATGTTACAAACCCAAACACCTCATAATGACAGATGCTGCACCCCGGGGTGCTGCGTGGGGGCCCGATCATTGACTTTCAGGCATGCTTCCAACACAGGGACCGCCCCCCTGTGGGAGTGAAGCCACACTTGGTAGAAAAACCCAAGAAAATGAATAGAAAAATTAGGAGATGTGATGTGGAGTGAGAATGAGAAAGAGGAAGGTTTCTCTTTTCTCCTTTGAGAACCATGAGCCGACAGGAAGAGAGACGCATGTGTCCAAACAACAGATGGTCTGAGCCGCAAGTCGACTGCTGGGTGTGAAAACACAAACACACCATTTTGGAGTAAACAAAAGTTTTATTTGAAAGGCACGTTTGACTGCAGAACCAAAATGTTTAACATACAACTCCTTCTAATGAGAATAATAAAAAAATGTTTTCAGAGCAATCACTGGCTGCTTTCAAATCTAATGTTTGGTTTAGACTTTGTACAATAAAACTTAAACCACGGTTTTGGTCATATCTGGCATTTCATCTGTTATTTCTGTCATTTTATCACCTCATGAGGACAAGTCAGGACACACAGATGCTGGATGTTACCCACATTGGTATCAGACAATTAAAACTAGCAAGTAAATCTGCATTCAGCAGTCTGGATGCAAACCAGCCACCAGCTGCGTGTTGCAGAGAGTTGGAAAAACCTGTTATAATAAAGTGTAAAATCTGTGTTTCCCACAGTTTTTCATGGCAGAGGTCAGCCACATCGCTTGAAATTAAGGGAACCACTTCTAACATCATAAAAAATGAGTAAACTTTCATTATGTAAAGCATCAACTTTCAGAGAAAAACAAAAAGGTGCTATTTTATATAGAAAATTGAACATATCTAATGACTATGGATATTGTTTAGGCTGTTGTCTATTAGATCATGAGGAAATATATGCCATAATCCGAGTGGTTTATCACCTTCACTGAACTATTTCCTGCAGTGAACCCTGAAATGCAGATGTGACACAAATAACAGGAATTTTCATGCTAGATAGAAATCTATATACCCACTGTATATAACTATCTCATCACATAAAATGTAATACTTGAACAATATCTCTAAAATGGCTTCTAAAAAGATGAGTGTAACTTGTAGTGATTTTCACTTGGGCAGTGCAGCAGCTTGGACATTTAGTAGAAGGTTCGGATACTAGAGTAGTCGTACTTGTAAGAAAAAGATGTAAACACCATAATGGCTTTTTGTGCATATGGCAATTTAGTTAATAAATACACAAACTGAGCCCATTTCAGTTAAAAAGCTTAGGATGCATGTAAAAATTGCAGCACAGTTTTAAGACATTTGATTAACTTTTTTCACAAAAAAAAAAAGAAAACATAAAAAAAACATTAAAGTAAAATTCAGAATGGTTTGAGAACTGTAACTAACTCCTTGTATAGAAAGGTCAAAAGCATACACGTACAGCATATGTGATATACACCATATGGGTGTAGGAGGTCATTTTTGGCATATCAAACACATGTGCAAATACAGCATAAATTAGTAATCTGTTTTTTCTTCCCTGAACATGTTATTGTGACGTGGGGAGAGTGTGGGCTGCTGGGAAGAGTAAGACAACATTTCCTGTTAATGGTGCAGTGGATGGATGCATTTTATGATGAGCGCATGGAGATGCAGATCTTGGAAACAGAGCAGAGAGCCTGTGAGGAAAACAAGATGATGAATTTGAGTGAGAGAGCGTGCAGCCTCACAGACTGGAGCCTTGGCACTGAGTGAAAGCGGTAGTAAACTGAAAACTCCAGGGACTAAATAAAGTCTAGTGTAACAAGTTGTATAGACAATGACTACTTGTAAAGTATTTATATTCATACAATGCCAGCTCCTTAAGATGACTGCAGTGATATGATAATACCTATATGGATGTCTTTAACTGGAGCACGCTCAGAAGAGCCCGGTGATCTCCTCTGTGGCCGGGTCAAGGTCAATGTCGTAGAAGCAGGGTCGGGTTGGCAGCCCAGGCATGGTGCTCATCTGAGGAAAAACAACAACGACACAGGGTAAGAACTTTATTGGTAAGCTCAGTAAGAGAAAATAAAAGAAAGAAAAATCTAGCTGTAAGCCTTTTCCTTGCCAAACTGTTCATGTTTTTAATCTAACTATTATATGTATAATAGTTAGTATATAATTAATAGTTAATATACTAAAAAAATATGACCAATACTGGCAGCTGGTTCATAACTTTTGTCTTTTGACAGCAGCCTCATAAAAATGTCAGTGACAACGGAGCTAAATAAGAAAGTAAGATTACAATCTATATAATAACCAAAAGCTCATATTAAAGCCTTTGTCACAACACAGCTGTTCTACACCAAAACAGAATCGATTAAGATTTTGTATCAAACCTTAACGTAAAATGAGTAAGATCAACCCCCACAGGTTCAATGACTATAATCTAGACTCATTCAACTCCAGAGAGACAGTTTACCAACGTGTTGACAACCTCCACTTTAGCAGTGATGAATTTAGCCACAGACAAAAGTTCCTTTGTTCTCATTGTCGTCCAAATATAGGTAAATAAGGGCTGCCTCAAAGAGATGAGATGAAGTTAAGGAGATGCAGAGTCACAGTGGTTAATATTAGCTACTGTACTCATGGATCGAGATCACTGCCAGAGAGAGAAGGGCACTCCTGGCTTTTTAAGAATCACATTGAGTTTTGATTTTGTCTAATAAGTAGCGGAAAAATAGCTACATTTTATATCAGATATATAACATACGGACTTCCCAGTGTGCAATAACATATATCTGAAACAGTGGAAACTCCTAATTACTGGGTTTCCTGAACTGACAATCAAAAATCATCCAACATATAATAAAAATAATTTCCCAATTATTTTCCAAATTCGTGGATTAACTAAACCTGTATAGATAAAACAACAGACAAAACGTCAGTGTTTTCTTACAGATGGTTACATAACACACACATCACAACAAATTTAAAAGGGTGGTGTACTGGAGAGACTTGTCCCTTTTTGTTCGGCCCACCTCTACAGTATCAGTGTGTGTTTGTGAGAGAGAGAGAGAGAGAGGGAGGGAGAGAGATTATATATCATGCTATCTTCTATCAGAGAGAGCCATGTGGAGGTTTTACTGAGATGGATTCAATAAGAAGAAGAAAAAAGCAGCTGACAGCGGAAATTCTCCCTAATGAAATTTGTGACATGAACAGGAGTGAGCATGTGAATGGAAGTTCACACGTAGCGGGGTCAGATGTTGGCAGCATTTGCTATGAGCACCAGTGCAATTAAAGGGTTTTTCTTTAGGTCTATGTGCCAAAAGAACTGTAACTCTAAATTTTCTAGTCAATAAATGTGTTACTCCGGTGTTTGTTGTATGGCAGATGAAAAGACGGAATTGGTTTGCACGCTACAATTGATCAAAGGCAACTGTGCGACTCATAAAAAACATTTTCCTCTCCCAAAACCCAGCCAGATCATCCCGTCCAAGCTCAAAAGTAAATTATCTTGCTCATTAGACAGGGAGCGACATTCTTTGCATGCTTCCTTCCCTCTGACCCAGGGCCAGTTTTATGGGCCCATTAGTGGAAATGAGACAGGAGGAAGTGACCAGCCAATTTCCTGTCTGAAGGAACGTGGCTGCGCAAGTAAATGAAGGGACAAAACAAGGAGTAGATGTTTACCCAATTTGACAGAGCGGATGCTATCTGCTCTGTGTCATTGTTGTCAACTGCGACCGTGGTTACATGACACTGTTCTGACCACATCTACCGATTAGGCTTTAACCACAGATGACTCAGACTATGAGCGGATGCAAATGACTTCAGTATCGCAGGATTACATTATATTCTTATGAAATCAATTAAAAACTCTTTTTTTTTCCCCACTCCAAAATGTTTTTTGCTCATTGTTACTTCACTTGGATGTTTGAGCAGAATGATGTCTGTGCAGAGTTTGACACTAGAAGATGTGAACATACGGTATGAGCAGGATTCTGTGACATAACTTGTTTTAAAGCCAATTGTAGTCCAGTATACAACTTACACAGGTGTGTTGAAACCTCAAAACTCCAGCCCACACACACTGAGACCAGCCGTTTCAGTGAAGCAGGAGACATGTTTTGTCCAGCAGTTAACTTTGAGATTAAAAATGTTAAGAATGTTAACAATTTTTAACTTGCTAATTGACCGTGCTAAATCTTTTTTTTTTTTGATGGAAAAACCACATCCGATACAAATTAGGTAAATATTTTTATACTATACTAAGTCTTAAAAAATCTCCATTATTGGATGCAGGATGTTCTTTGAGATTCAATAGAGTGTCCATCATACACCTGGAGGATTTACTGCATCAGTATCCAGACTCTGAGGAGATGCTTCACATTGATGGAGTCTGCTTGCCAAAGTCTTTCTCTGATGCTAAACTCAATCCATATTGTTATACGCTGAAGCCACGCCTTAAAAAGTGTTTTGGTCCACCTTCAGCTATTACATCATGTCATTCTAATGTGTACCTGCCAAATTTACAAATGTAAAGTAACACGAGCCGTAGATTAATGTTGACTGTTTACACTGTAGTTCTGTTATGAAGTATAATTGTATTACATGACCCAAACTACTTATTCAAGTAAGCATCATTATTTCATTATGAATCATTAAGAGAGCAGGCAATACTGATCATGTTTCATGCTTTTAAACCAGACTGACATCCAGAGAAATTAACTATAATTCACATAAAATGTGGTCAGAAAGCACAACGTGGTAAAACTCACAACAGTCTCTCCATCTTTATGACTCTAGACATGATTTTTGTATAAAAATGCAACTGTCTTACTATCTGAATTAACAAAGTAGGGCTGCAAGTAAGAAATATCTTCCATTGCTACTCACCAAGATCACTTTAGTTTCTCAAATGAAATAGATGAAATCTACACACTGTCAGTTAACAGGAAGAAATGACTCAAAACAAAAACAATTGGATTCACAAACAGCCTTTTTTCTTCTCATCTCTTTAGAATAAAATGTTAGGTCTCACATTTAACTATCAAAAGATGTTAAAATATAAAATATAAAGACAAACTGTTGAGGTTTTGAAAGCAACAAAAGATGCTCTGTTCTGCTGGACCTCCTCTCAAGCCTGAGAACAAGTTGGCACTTGCAAAAAACACATAACACTCCGTGGCTTAAGTTGGAAACTCCACTTGGCCAAATAAGTCCCCCCATTATGCCCAAACACAATGTGCCTTTGTCAGGGAAAACCCTGGAGGAGACAATGTAGCTGGATTTCTAACCCCCTCTGATTTTGGAGAAGAGTCTCAGTCAACAAACGGCGCAGTTGCTAAAGAGCGGGATTGAGGAGATTATGAAATCAAAGTCATGAGCAGAGACTCGAGCCATTTGAGATTAATGGACCATTAGAGGGAGGGGAAAAGTGTGAAATGAAGCATTTAATCAAAAGTCAAAATGACACTTCTTATGTTGACTGTATTATCTAATGAAGACACATTCTTGGCTGTGATAAATCAATGGATAAATTGCCTGGTGACTGGAAAGGTGGAGCTGGAGTGATGAGATTGATGAGTTCATGAGTTGAACTCTCACCTGTGAGAGTGCACTGCTTCTCTAGGGAAGCACTTTGAACTTCACAGTGGCAAGTTGTAAATAAGTTGAAAACATTACTCTGTTTTGTCTTGTTTAGGACTCTAATTTTTTATACAACGTTTAAATACAAACTTACTACACAGTAGTCATGAGATGTAAAGCTTAGGAAGTAACAGACAGCAACATTAGTTCATGTGGTCATGTGTACTGTATTGTGATGCTGTGTAAATTGTTTACTTATCTCTGCATTAGTTTTACTGTAATTATGATGAAGTAAACATCAGTTTCAAAGATAAAAATAAGACTGGATTTACTGAGCTTGTTGCACTTGAGTTAAATGACCAAAGTCAGGAAAATAAATTAAGATCTACTTTCATCTCATGTGTGCTTTCTTTCATAGATATAATCGCAGTCCTTTAGCCAATGTACAGCATGTTAAATTATATCCATTGGGGCCATATGGAATAATCAGGAAGGGGCTTTTTATAAATCTGAACTGGTGCACTGGAGGTTGCTCTAACGGGATATGAACTCTACAGAGATCTATTGTTCTGCTTGCGACCCCTCCCTCACATATCTGAAGAGTGACATCAGCCCCTTCCTGATTCTTCACCCTCTAAAGACCCTTAACCCAGCCCTCCATCTAAAGCTCCCCCTCGTCTCATACTCACACCCTCATTGCCCCAGGAGTTTTGCTGTTGAGATCTTTCCACTTCTTCGAGTCAAGTGTGACCTGAGGGTCTGTTACCACTTTTAATTCAAATGGCAAAACATTATAAAATAGCAACTACTATAATCTGAGAGAAACAAAGTACAACAAAACTTTCAATCAAATCTGTCAGATGAGTGGACAGCATGTAGATGCTCAGTCCTGCCCCCTTTCTATGCCAGCTTTTGTTCCACTTGCCTCACATTTTTTGCCATAGAGTTTATTTCAATAGCCTCTTTAAAAATCTGAAATATGATACTGGGGTTATCTGTCCAAATTCTAGTGGGAACTTACTACAGTACTGGACAGTAAAACTCTGGCACCTTGTCATTTAACCAAATAACTATTCTGGCTGAGGCAAGAAAAACAGAAGCACACCTGGACCCAGGGTGGGACTTGGCTCTCTATGACTTTAAAATGGATCTGTGGATCAGTCTGGCAGACAGAGGCTAAGCTAAAGAGTTCAAATAACTATTTGGAGACTTCCTTTGGGTTATAAGTCACAGTTCAAGGGTCGTCAACGTGCCAGTGGCTCCGCGGGCCACAGCAGATCAAAGACATGGCAGGGAGGCTGGACAGACGCCACACCAAGACACTGCTACCCCTTCCCAGCATGCCCGGTGTTTGACACCTCTGTCTCCACCTATCAAAGCCTAGCCCTCAGGGAACACTGGTGAAACAGCAGGAGGCAAAGCGCTCAGGAAGCCGCTTCCTTCCTGTCCGAGCCCATCATCAACCAAGAGGTTCCAGTAAGCCGAATTCAACTCCAACCGGCACAATAATATGGTTTCAGGAAAAGCAGGGAACTGGCCAAAACTATAAATACTGTTCAGAGATAAACTTATGGGAGGGTGGAAGGATGAGGGGATACAGCACCTGCAAGAACTAATGATCCTATGTGGATAAACGGAGACAAAGCTGTCAGGAGTGATGGAAATAACTTTTCTGCTATGACATAACTCCGAAAATGTGCCTGAATTATGATATAAACTTCTACTCCTGGCGAATAGCTCAACCCCACAGCAATAAACCAAATCAACATGAAACACCAGAGGTTGTGGATTCCCAGAAGTGCAGTTTGGGCTTTACTTCTCACCAAGTACAGCGGAATTTAATTTCTGTCTATAACCCTCAGTGATCAAAGTGAGCCACAGGAGATATCAGTGTTTGAGCTGGATATTACAGTAACAAGGTAAAGGAAGGGCGCCACGTTGATTAGATTAGGTGAGGTAAATTAGATTCAGTGCCTTGTGCAGTAAATAGCCATTCATAGCTGCTTTGACACTTGGTCACTCAACTATGTAGACACAGAGGTTTTAACACACACTCACTGAAACACTGCAACAAACATTTGTCCATCCTTGTTCACAAAATGATACTGATTTTAATTGATTATTTAAGGAATATATGGTGCGAGAAGAAATTAAATGGGCCAAGAAGCAAAGAACAGAGGGACCAAAACAGATAAGGTAAATAATTGGCTAATTCCACGCCAGCTTACTCAGAATTAAGACTTTTCTCACTTCATGTGACGGATTTTCTCGAAAAAAAATTTATGGAAAAACTTCTATGAAATTGATCCTGCAAAATCCTATAGCTCTACTCCAAATACTTAACACATTAAAAACTATTTATAGTATGATCACATGTTGCAAATAATCTTCAGGGTTTGTTGGAAGTTCAGTAGCTACAAATTTAAACCCAATGCAGTGAAAAGTAAGCAAATCTTGAGCCTCAGAATACACACACACGTCATAAATACATATGTATTAATCTATTTGCAGTAGAGCTTTAGGATTTTGCAAGGTCCCATGAATTTAATAAAGTTTTCACATGAATTTTTTCAAGAAAACCATGATATGAACTGTGAGGGGATGACCCAGTTATTATTTCCTAAAAATCAAACAAACAAATTTGGAGAAAAATCATTGTATTTAGTGCATTTAAAGTGAGTCAATTAAACTAGAATGTAATGTCTTGCTTGTGTTGAATTCCAGTGTGGTCAAAGACCATCATTTTGTTGTTACATGTTTGAATTTCTCAAACAGTAATGGCACAGTCTATTGTAAATTACAGTACATACACTTTCCAGACATTTGCGGCCTTGTGAGGACACCTTTAAAAGCCTGTGGAATGTGAGTGTGACCTGGGCACAGACAATGAAGTTAGCATTAGCCGGCTGTTGCTGTTCTGTTGCACACCACGTACCGTTCCCACAAGTGGGTAGATGAAGCCAGCCCCGATGCTAGCACGGACATCTCTGATTGGCAAAACAAATCCAGTGGGTGCACCCTTCTTGTCAGGCATGTGGGACAGGGACAGGTGGGTCTTGGCCATGCAGATGGGCAATGAACTGTAGCCCTGGTTAAAAGGTAAAAGAAATTTACTGGTTAATGTTTGTGTGTGTGTGTGTGAGAGTGGGAGAGAAAGTGATACACAAAGAGAGAGGGAGAGAGAAAGGGGACGAGCTACAATGCTCCTTTCTTTGTGTGGGACAGTGTTTATTGTGGCAGGAGTGATCTCACCTGTTGATTGTAGTAATCGATCTTGGCTTTGGCTGCTGGGGACAGCTCGATGTCATCAGCTCCATACACTTTCTGGGCAATTGTTCTGATCTTCTCTGCTATTGGCATCTGCAAGACAGACAGTGCATAAGGGACAGGTGGAAACACATCAGCGCCCCAGTCAAAGGAAATAATGGGGGAAATTAGATTTAGTGAATCCACATCCGTGTGACTTCAGGGTTAAAGGACTTAAACAGAGTAAATTAAATCACTCAACATATTTGACTTGTTCTCTCTGACTCTTGTGAAATATTTCATACCTCTCATCTGCTGCCTCGGCAGTGCAACATCTGAGAGGTCAACCTCCTGAGCCGTAACTGGCCAAGCAATATCTTTTTCAATATTATCTTTATAATACCAGAACAGTGGCTCAGTGAAATTTTAGACTTCCACTGTGACAGCCACAATATCATATAGACGAACTGAAGTTACAGTGACTGGGATTTGACATGAAGGAAAACTGTATCTCGTCTGTATTGCCCATCAGTAATACAGACAAGATGCTGGACCGCGATGTATAACTGGAGGTTGATTTATTACTGGTTGTTGATGCACACTTGAACATCTGATTTTTAGCAGCTTACAAGTTAGGGTACAGTTAACATTAGTGGTGTGAACATTGTATTTGCATATAAAGATGTTTGAAACATTGATAAGTTACAGAGCTACAGAGATAAAGCCAAATTAAATAGTCATCATTGCACTTAACTGGTTGTGAAAAGTTTGTTTCTCAGAAAATAAATCACACTTATTTGACTTATATTTGAGGGAATGGGCAAGATGTAATTATGTCATCTCTCACATTAACCCGTCGCTCTTTGAATTCTTTCAACGGGTCGGTATGTCTGTCAGTGACATGCTTTGCCAAGTTTGTTCTGCGTAGGTTTAAAACATCTTTTACAGACGGGCTTTGTTGCGTCTGTGAGCTTAACCTGACTGTTGGCTATGTAAGAAGAATGACACCACATTGCTTTGTTTACAAGCTGTGAATGGTTGGCAAAAGTGCTTGTATTTGCAGCCATTTCTCTAATTTTGTCACCATGAAAGCTGAAGCATGCAGCATATGAAAGAAAATAAAAACATTGGTGGCACGCCCACTATGTCTGCAGGGAGTGGAAGCAGAGTACTGCACGCACACGCACACGCGCGCGCACGCACGCACGCACGCACACACACACACACACACACACACACACACACACACACAACACATCGTACTGTGGCCACAACATCACACACATCACCGGGCCAGACACATCACACAATGTTTGTCACACGGCCACACACAAACACAAACAAAGCACAAAAATTCCAAAAAAACAGAAGAAACATCAAAAACAAACAAACAAACACCCCCCCCAACGGAAGTATTTTTAAAGTACTGGTATTAAAATAGAATGTTGTATAGCATCATTTTCAAAGGCACCTTTCTAGTATCAGTATACTGTGCAATACTATTCTTAATAATTCTCATTTCACTGGACTTGTTTTACTGAGCGTCAGCTGGATTCATTAAATCAGTCCTGGACCTGCTTCACTCCACTTGTTGGACTCTTGGTATGCAGGCGCATGCATACTGTAAATAGGTGCACAAAAACACACACACAAACACACGTCAGTGTAACAGGATCAGTTCATTTACGTCACGACTTCCCAAACTTGCTAACTCAAACCAGCTGATGTTTTTTCTACCTACACATTCTCTGGCTTTGCTCCCAAAGACAACATCATCATTTACTGCAAACAGAAAGTAAGTAAAAAAAAGTAGGAATTGGCATGAAGACAACTGCCTTTCATACAGCAATGAAGCACAGGCATCAAATTTTGATGACATGTCTTTCAATATTCTTAGTTAAGATCAGTTGAGAAACACACAGCATGTACAAGTTCACCTCTATGTTGTACAGGAACTGGAAGTTGCTGGCTCTGCTGGCAGCTTCGTTCACAGCCTGGGCCAGCTTTAAAGACCCTCGCCCACCCTGCGCCCAGTGGTGACATGGCACAGCGTCAGACGCTCCACACTCTTTTGCAATCTGACACACAAGGTCAATCTCTGCCTCAGTGTCTGTCCTGAAGGATCACAGAGGGAAATGTTAGCAGTGCTTGGTGGCTAAAACAAGAAATCATGTTTTTTAAAGCAAGACAAACGAAATAAAAGTGCTTTTGTGGGTCAAAGGAAGATATGGACTGTCCCATTACTACTGTTAAGTCGATTCAATTACTGTATATTACAGGAATGTTGTGTTTTTGTGGATGTGTGTCTGCGTGAGTCTCACTTGAAGACATTGAGCGCCACCACGACTGGTACCCCAAACAGATGTGCGATCTGGATCTGCTTCCTGAGATTGCTATGGCAACCGCCTGAAACCAGGCTCAAATTCTGGGAGGAGAAAGACAGAGGAAAAAAAGGCAAGGTCAAAGGTCAGGAATGCATGATTGTAATTCAATTAAATTTTAAAAGACCTATAAAATATACTACATCTGGCTGTCCCCCAAAGCATCCAACCATTAGCCATCATGATAAAACTTGGACAAGGAACTGCAGCTTCAGGATTCCTCCCACTTCATAATTCATTAATCATTACCCATAAATCATTACCACTTTCTTCCCCCCCCTTGATTCCTGTCACATCTCTACTCTCCAGCCACATTAATTCCCTTAAAATTACTTAAAAACCTATGGAAGTTCATTTTATATTGAACATTTACAACACTTATAACATAAAAAGTTCTTTAGTGTCACAATGAAAATGGTAAAAGTGTTCTTAACGAAAAGCAGAATGTGATGCTAAAAACCCAGCTCGGTATGCGACTCCATACTGAAGATGGTTTTTTATTACACTGTCAGCACAAAAAGGAAAAGTCCTGGAGACGTCTACTTTTGCCTTCACTGCTGAGTAGTTTGCAGAGATATAATTTGGAGGGTATAACAGGAAATCCGTAATTCCAGTGAAAGCTTGGTTTAATTGACCTCATTTCCTATTTACCCATTTAGCTGGAGCTGTCCAAACTAATAGTTACATCAGAATACATGCCACTCACTTAGTGCCTTGTTAACCACAATGAGTTTTACTTTTCCTTTGATGTGGTATATTGTTAGTCTTTGGATTAATTATACTTGGTCTGGTAATGTACTACAGTATAGAACAAGACTGTCATATTACTGCGTAGTGCACAGTTATTCATTAATCCTTCTCATATTTTATACTACTACGTGCAGCACTCAGGTTATTCCCAAGCACATTAACAGCATATTCATTCAGCTACTCCAGGTTTGACCACAGTAATCCAATCTTGTACTGTGTGTGTGTCTGTGTGTGTGTGTGTAGCCGCAGGCTCAGAGCAGTAAGGCCATACAGGTCCCATAAATTCATTTCCCTGGCTCTGTTTTCCCCAGTACTTCTGGTTCTCATTATAAGCTACACAATTAACTTATACTGCTTCATTATTTACTCAGCTGAACCGGCCTCAGAGACGAGTGATTCTATCCAGATATGGACATGTGTGCACACACACAAACACACCAAAAGAATCCCACCTCCACTCTGCTAAGGCCCACATACCCGGAAGAAGGTTCTATTTGTGCTGTTAATCGAATGAGCGCCCATAACCATGTTAGTGGGCGATGTATTTATGCATATGGGTGGGGAATTAAATGTCAGTGAGAATACAGCTGGAGGCTGATAGGTTGAGTACGATCTGAAACTTCCTTTATTGCCTCACACAGAAATCTCTATAGATGTGTCAAATGATGGCTCATTTCCCCAAGTTTCTCCTGGCCCGTACCACACACACCACAAAGGACAAATCCAGTATAAAGGATTTCATAAATGATATGCAATATTGTGTTTACTGTGTTGCCCCAAGGTATGAGTATCCAGTAAGTTATCTCCATTGCAACTCAAGAGTGATCCTAATGGTTCATATCTTTACAGAAAGTCAGGGCAGTGAGAGGCCCACAGGGCATGCTGGGAATGTTGAAGGCCACAAAGCTACATTAAGAGATACGGTATCGCCACCCATGGTTACCCTTGTGGCTGCCAGTTAACTCAAAAACACAGACCCACTACCAAATAGCATTATGTTAATGAGCACATGATTGTCTTATAATTGAAGTCTTGCAATGGCCAATTTGTTTAAATAATTTTAATTTTCTAGAAAACATCTTGACCTTCACTACTAAATGTAATAAAAACAGGGAGAGTCAATTATTTTAACTTGATTGGAAGTGATGAAAAAACTCACCAAAACCTCAGCTCAAAATATTCTCCCACTTGTTTATTTTTTATTACAGTGGCGATGCTTATTTATGTCCATACATGTATATTAGTGTCCATCAACGTGGCTTTATACGGATCTTACCTCATCAATGTACTCTTTAGGAAGAGGTGCGCCTGCTGACACCTGAAAACACACAACAACAACAAATAATTGTTTCCATGGAAAAGCCGCTGAATACCGCTATTAGTTTGGGGCATTCATTTGAGTGAACAGGATGTAGACCAACAAATACCAAGAAATTCTGAGCAGATTTACAGACTATAATTGTTTTCATTGTATGAATGGGGGTTGTTATATGGGGGAATGCACAAACATCTATAAATTTCAAAATCAAACTGGAACACTTGCCTGAGCTTTCAGAAATGTTGTCCTGCCATTAAATGCCCTTCATGTTCACACTTGGACATACAGTGTACTGTGTGTACCTTGCTATTCTAAATGTCTATATAGAGGAGTAGCAGGTAATCCTACAGCAGAGGTCTCTAATAGGCAGACACCGTCTTATCCAGACACCAGCATATAACCTATGAATTATCGAGAATTATTACATTTTGACATAACGTTGCTATTTTAACCAGCACAGCATTTCTGGCCTTTACAGCACTGGTTATGTGTTGATACTCAGCCAATCATTGCGACTCGAGTCAGTCAATGAGATACACTCACACGGAGAGAGACGACATCAAATAAATAAGAGGGGAAAGTGGGATAGAAGATGGAAAGAAGTTGAAAGGTCGAGTTAAAGCTGTTCAGTTGTTAACATGTGTTGCGATTGTTTATTATAAAAATGGTTGAGACTGTTGGTTCACTGCTGGAGTTAACCATGAAGAAGAAAGTCAAGCTAACTATATAATATATTAGTGGACCTCTTTGAATTTTACTTGAATACAGATAATGATAATAAAACACATAATGAAGATATCTTTCATTGACTGTATAAACGATCAATTTATTGAGCTACAGCTTCTTAACAACATAGCAGCTCCTTTCATGACCATTAAAAGTATGTCATGATTTATGTGGGGTGATTGTGACTGTGCAAACAACAGTGTCACATGTGAGTTTAGGATGTTGCAGATATTTATGCCAATGATTAATCAATTCCACAACATCAGAGATAATGTATGGGTCCACATTTTGCTATTTTATGACAGAATTATGGAGAGAAAAGCGCATCACTGTGCTTACTACAGTGTATTATGGTAACAGTGTTGTGTTAACTTACATTAGGACCTCCTCCGTGCATCTTCAGTGCTCGGACAGTTGCAACCAGCACCACCACATTAGGCCTCAAACCTGAAGCTCGACATTTGATGTTGAAAAATTTCTCCATCCCGATGTCTGCTCCAAAACCAGCTTCAGTCACTGCGGAAACAGATGAGATGTTTTCATACGAACTATACAGCATATCAATATATGAACCAATCATTCCTTGACTGTATTATAAGAAGCGGGTCAGCATATAAACCTAATGTAAGTAGATGAGTGGTTAAACTGTCTGTAGCAGCGGCACTGATTTATCACCTTTGAAATAAATTATAGGCTGATCTGTTTATGAGCCAGTTATCTTTCTTCTTGTATCCTCTCTACCTCTTTACTTCATGTTAAATGCCATGTTTGACTTAATATGACTTCAAAACAACTTTATATATACGTGTGAGCTCAGTTCATGGGAATCATGGGAATAAGAGGTGAGTCTGACTGCGTTTCTGTCTGAACAGTAATGCTGTATTGAGTAATGGGTTCACTGTAAGGGCTCTCAAAGAGACAGAGGGCCTCTGATATGAACAGCCCCTACACACAGGCCTCTTGAACATGCTCCAAACTAAGCAAATAGTCCACCTGGAATGACAGCCTTGTTAAGATAAGGTTTCCTGTTACTGTTGCTGTGTGTGTATGTGTGTGGGATGCGTGTATGTGTGTGGCACCATTGTTCTAAAACACTTGCCGGTGGCCAAAACTAGAATTGCGGAGGGAGACTAAGCTTGATGTCACACCAAACTTGTTTAGAGAGGTTTTAACAACTTCTGGCATATTTCCCTCTTTTTTGCACAGTTCTTAGCCTGATGTCATTTGAACCTGGTGAGGGAAAAAATAACTGCACATACACCACAAAAAAGCTGGCTTCTGAGACAATTCCGTTTGTTTGGTGTTTGTAATGAAAATCCAAAATGAAGGAGCAATGAGACACTTATGACTTCAAAAGCTAATCTGAATAAATTTACTACGACATCTCGTTTCCTTCCTCTGTTTCAACCTGCCAGTCAGTATGTTTTACCATTATAGTTGAGTCTGAGCTTCATGAACTCTTTATGGCCACCAGAGAAGACCAATAAAACCCTCAAGTACAGTGTGGGACCTGCTGTCAGACAAAGGAATAAAGTTTGTTTTGGTCTTTGCCCAAAGTCCATATAATGTAGACGAGTCACTACTTTGTCCAAATGACTCTATGTTAACAACTCGTGGTATATTAGCAACAGCTGAACCCCACATGGTCTACAGAGTGGAAGAATCAAAAAGACTTGGAGGCGTGTCTGTTTTAACAGTCAAGGTTTAGTATTGATATTACTATTTTATTATTCTAATAAACCTCTATTAGCTTTAAAGTTATATCCCACTTGGAAGGGGCAGGTCAGAATGTTACTCACTAAATGCAGCCATAACCATCTCTTTCCCAGACTCCCCCTCTGCACTAATTTGGACCATCTTGCTTTAGATTACCAGGCAGTCCTCCATGACTGTTTCTAGTGGTGAGGGTGTATGTTGTGGAATGACACGTGTGTTGTTGTGCGTGGGCAGCCTGTGCATTGAACTCAACAACCAACAGCTAACATTTAATCTAATTGAAAAGGATGATAATAAAAGCAAGTCAGAAAACAAACAAAATTAAGATAACAAATTATGTGTATGTTATTTACATGCTAGATTGTGCTTACAGATTTTAACTATACAGTAATTGCACAACTTATAGAGTATAGTTTAACTCTCACAGCTCCAGGAATTAATTGTATTAATTCCTTTTGGACAGAAAATAAGTTCTTTATTGATTCTAGACATAAAAAAACTAAATTAAATGAAAAGAAAATCAAATTAGCTCCTATTTTAGTGAATAAATTGGTCTAAAAATCATTTACTATGAAATTCAACAAACAAGAAAAAGGACTGAAAACATTCATTGTTTGGTTACAAGACAACATCGTACATACAGCATGAGGCCTTTGGTAAGAAAAAAAATAATTCACTGTAGTTTTAAGTGATTGTGTGTGATACTTGATAGATCACAAGTCTCTGAGGCTTTAGTGAGAAAACAAGTGGTTCCTTGAAGAAATGCATCACTCTACTTTGCTTGTTTCTCTGTATTAAAATACAATTTACTTCCCCAGAGATGGAAGAGTAAAACGACTTAGAGGGAGGGGAGGAGGGGAAACAGAGAAAGGAAATGGAAAAGAGACAAGAAGTTAAAGTAAATTAGAAAGATGAGAATAAGAATAAGAGGTGAACTGTGAAAAACGAAAAAAAAAGCACAAATTTATTACTTGACATTAACAGTTTCTGGGAACATAAAAGACAATGTTAACATTAAGGAGAAAATGTGGTTTACGGAGTCTTGGCTGCATCATCTCCATCCTAACAAGTTTCTCTGCGTAAAGGGAAACAAATAAAGCCTGAGGGATGAGCATAAGAATTTAACTGGACTTTGTTTGGCCACAGACTGTTGACAGAGTGCAGTGTTTCTCATTAGCACCACACTGGAGCTTTGGCTCTATATGCTGAACCAGCCTGCCAGTGAAAATCACAGTCTTAGACACAGTATTTGTGGATTTCCATACAGCTGTGTGATCACAGGAGTACTCATACCACGCATGCATAATACGTCTGAGCAAAGCGTATTCAGAGAGGACAGAATGAAAGCAAAAAAAACACAGAGAGTTTGTAACAACAGCAAATACAACACGCTTTCTCCCACCACATTACACCGAGCAGGAGAGCGACCCCAGAGGATGTCATGAGGAAACACTGGCAAGCTTCCTGTTCTGTGTGACAACCTTTAACTGTTCAGAGAGCATGAGGGGGAGAAAAGGTCGATGTTGTTGGAAAATGGTTCCAGAGAGAGAGAGAGAGAGAGAGAGAGAGAGAGAGAGAGAGAGAGAGAGCTGAATGGTGTCAAAGAATTGGTACCAGCACCGTGGCCAAGAAAAACACCAACAGAAACGCTGGAAAGTAGGCTAGATCAACACGACCACATACTTCCTGTTAAGAATTGTCCACAATAAGCTCTGCTGTTGTTCTGAGTACGGCTACAACTAATGATTATTTTTTGTTATTGATTAACAGTCTAAAATCAAACTGTGCAATTTACAATACTGTAAAATTGAGAAAACCAACAAATATTAATGCATATATCTTTTAAGGCCCATGCTGAGTTACTGTTATTTCTCAGGTGTCACTTCTCTAAAAACCCACATGATTTGTTGGTCTAGTTTGGGGAGGCTTTGCGGTGTGGGAAATCTTAGACTAAGTCAGTATCAGGGGGTTATCTGCGTTCAATACTCCAGACTGTTAATGATACAGGAATCCCTCACATCTGGCACGAGGAATTCATCCCCGAGCAGCCCCCTCCGATAGCAGCAGATTTCTCCATTTCAAGTCCAGATTCCAAAGTGACTTGGAAACCCCCACAATAATACTGAGCATGATGAAGCATGGCCCTGAGTATGTTCATGCACACCCTCACAAGCCTCACTCAGTTCACAAAGAGTTCATGTGCTTCCTTTGCTACATGAGATGAGCTTTCTGACATAACTCAACTGAACTATATATTAATTCAAGACACTGCAGTGTGGATACATGAGTGTCAAAGACAGTTTATTAGAGCTTCTATCTAATTTTTGTTTGTTTGGACATTACTTTTCGCTGTTCAATCCATTCCTACAATTACATTACACTCATCCAGTTGATTGTTGAAATCTAGGAATGAGATCTGAGGGTGCAGCGGCTTTGTTAAAAAGAAGCAAGATGGGGCAAGAAATAGGAACAACAAAAAATCGGTTTATCATAGAGGCGTTAAACCTGAATTGAAAAGAGATTTTTAGGGCAACTTGGGATCAGTGAAAACAAACTGTTAAACTATTGAAATGTTGACCTTACAAAGTTAATATGGCAAACTTGTTAGCAAACAATTGCGTATTTACACATCCAGCAAACATGGAGCAACATTACGATTCCTTTAGAGTTGTGTTTCACCACCTGGTGAATACAAGTCTGATATTTAGCCTCCTTTAGGTTCGTGTTTGGTCTCCACCAACTCCTGAGAAAAATGTCTGGCTCTTCAGCTGCTAAATGCTCTACTGTTTTCACCAACCAGTGGCTAACTCTGACTGTTTGCTGGTACGGGCTCACAGCGCTTGGAAACAAGATCGAAGAGAGTGAACCAAAACAACAAAACGTTGCGTGCAGTAAAACCGATTGGCTGAAAGATGCAATGAACAGCTGAGGAGAACTGCAGAGTCTGGAAATTATTCTCTGTGGGTTTGTCAGTACAAGTGACAAACCCACACATTACACATGGTCATTTGATCCATTGTTAATATAAAAATATTAATTAGAGCAGCTTTAAAGAAACCCTAAGGTTTGCCAAACATATTTGGAAGAGAAAACAAAGATGAAATACAAAATTATTAACAAAACCATTGTCCATTGTAAATACATTACATTTACAGACTATCCTGGTTTAACTTGAACCTAGCGAACTCCCAGTAGTTGCACAAGGTTGCAGCTGTGATGAGGGATTACTACCAACATTTCAAGTGGTCTTTCCGTTTTACCTCCCAAATAAAGTGGTTTAGATAATCTAGCTAAACTGTTTGCTAATGTCTGATCACTCGTTTCTTACCCCATTCTTGTGCGGCTGTCACTTTGTGATTTTCAGACAATAATTTCAGAGTATGTGTATGTTTTCATGACCAATAGAAATGAAATCCATAACACGAACATAAGCCAAACTTGTAATAAGACAAAATTATCCTTCAACTTGATCATAAAACTAGATCATGCAAAACAGATGACCAGATTATGGCTGCAGAAATATTCATTTGTTTCACTTTGCCATTATTAGTTATTAGTCTTTTTAATGATTCCAGCTAAAAGAAGACAACATCTGTAGCACCAGAGAAAACAACTGAGGGGAGGGACTGGGGGGGTACATGCACCCCAGCTGCCGGGGGAGGAAAAGGAGGGAGGTTGCGTTCCTGGCATACCTGAGAGTCAGGTAACAAACACACAGACAGGGAAAGGGAGGGAAGGAGACGGACAGATGGAAAACAAGCGGGGTGGAGGTTTAAAAACATGTACGAGCCTCCCTGCCTCTCTGCGCCAGTGTTGTGAAACCCAACTCTCTGCCCACGCTGCCTACACATTTACCCAGCTCATAAATGACAGCTTGTGTTAATGTGACCCTTCTCCTTTTTACTTTTTATTGACCTCACACACAAAAAAAAAACACATCTCACATACACAAGTCTTGAGGAGATTTGCATGTACATTAAATGCACCTGACAGACCCCACAAACATGCATTCCAGACATATTTCTGTTCCCAAAGTAAATGAAGACAGAAAGAGAGCAGCGGGACAGATGGACAGATAAAAGTGGAAATGCTCAAGTATGCTTTGACGTTGAAGGGATTAGTGTGGTTTACTCTAAAGCATTCCAGGGGCTCTTAAGATTATCAATCTGCTTCCTTCCTCTCTCCTATGTTTTTTTTAATGCAATCTTTCCACCAGTTTCCTAGAAAGTTACGCAGGAGCAGGACACCAGAGCAGCACAGCAGTCAACTACAGAGCCAGAATCAGAACTAAGATGAACGCAGACCAAAGGTTGCAACAGCAGGGGAACAAGCTGAAGTTCATGACAGGAGAAAATAGTAAATTAGTTTAATCTGCCTTGCTAAGGAAGTTTAGGTCTTAAATCCTTGACTCCTAGACTCTGCAGTTAACATTCTGTTGTCTGTAATACCCAAAAGTTTTGTGGTTTTGCATCTGCCGAAGTTCATGTGTGCGATCTGTATGCACAGATGGTGTGCTCTTACCCACAAAGCCGTCCCGTCCAACCAACTTCAAGGCCAGCTTGTCTGCCAGCACCGAGGAGTTGCCATGGGCGATGTTGGCAAAGGGCCCAGCATGGACAAACACTGGCGTACCCTGTCACAATAAGAGGGGCACACAAACATACAGGAGGAGGTGAGCAAACAGTGTAACCCACAGCAACCTACCCCACCAAAGTTAAATAAGGACTAACCAGCTCTTTCATACTAAATTCAACATCTTTCAGTCAGACATCCAGGATAAATATTGAAGTGTGGATGCACTTTGGCTGGCATCGTGTTTGTCTAAACAGTAGGCACAAGTTAAGAGGCACCGGACTGGCATGGCGGCTTGACTGTGGGCCATGTTTCCTTCCCCTGCTGCTTTGGATTACTCCGAGGGCTGGACACACACACACAAACTACAAGAGCACTTCTAGTACAGGTGTCTGTTTCTTGCAGACGCTTGGCCCAGCACATTTAGTTTCAGTTTATATTCACAGTGACTAACTCTACGTATGAACTAAGTATGAACTAAGTATGAACAGAAACACAACAGGGGGACAATGAAAAGTGCAATACATGTAATAAACATTCCATATGCTCGGTATTAACAGACGTAAATGTGAAAGGGTGTGATTTTTAAAAGTAGAGCTTTGACAGTTTGTTCCTGGGTAGATGTAAGAAATCACTTCTTGATCATGTATGTTGATAATAACATAAGTTATCTACCCTATATGTGAAATGATGACTTCAATCCCACAATAGATGAAAAACCATTGGTAGAAATATGGAAATCTTACGAGATTCCATAATGTAGAGTAGAGGCGGAGTTAGTGGCACTATATATCAGTATATTCTCATTGTAATATTACAGGTTTTGTTTTGCACCATTGTTGATTGTTTTTTTTGCAGTGATGTTGCTTCTTCATGTCATTGTTTTTCTTAATGTGAACAGTTTGTCTTGCACTGGTTGCGTGTTCTTTTCGTGTATTTGTGTGTTTATTAATGTCTACTCTATGTGTCCTTTAAATTGCACCCTGGAGATAAGGTTTCTTGAATTGAACTGAATTAAATATATGTGGACATGTGTTAGGAGTACGGGGTTAAACTGTTGGTGAATCTTAATGTCCTTCTTTAGACAGAACCTCAGTGTTGGTTTCACTGTTCACCCAGGTCTTATATTAAAGGCTCTCATCAAAGAAGGCTGTTCAGTATTAATACATTTTCTGCCCGGAAAGTATATGGTTCAGAGTTCAATCATGGATCAATAATAGACCTCCTATAATTGTGGGATGGCATACAGCTGACATTCGAGTTAATACTGAGATAGAAATATCAAATATACACATTTAAATGTAAAAGGGAGGATTTCTATATGACACAGTTTCTTTGAATAGACTTCTCAAAAACTTAGAAATGCTGTCTTAAAAAAGGAATCATAAATTGCAATAATGACAACTCTTTCAGACGTTTTTGACTTGTACTGTGGCAAATGTATTTCCATTTTTATCTGAAGAACATAAGTTATTTATTTTTTCACATTTATACTTTCACGTGTCATGTGATGTGTACTATGCACCACATTCTTCTTGCACCTTAGATAAGTCAGCTGTTTGCGTCTCTACTGTTGGAGCTTGTGTTTTTATTCAAAGATACTTTACATGGTACAACCAGCTTACACAAGGCAAGGCTTCAAAGAATTCGGTTGGATCTTCCCTTCAAGATCCTTGCGCTGCACTCATGAGAAAAAAGGGAAATTACGGAGAAAACTGTTCAAAAAGAAAATGGGAGGGGGGCAACTGACCCATTGTTACGTTGTCTGTGAATTCCTTGAGAAGGAGGAAAGAGGAAGGACGGGAAGGCCTTGCCTGATTTTCTAAGCTTTTGTTTGCATACCTCTCCCTCTGCCTGCATAAATAGCCTCCCATTGAGGGAGTAAATCAACCATTTTAACAGGACTCTGTCAAATGCTACCACTTGTATATTTGTCTATGTAAAGCAGCAGTCCAGATTACAGCAGCATCTAACTGTATGAAAGACGGAACATGTAAAAAAAAAAAAAACAGAGGCGAACAAAACCAAAAACGAAGGAAAGATGGCAACAGATAATGACAAAAAAAAAAAACATCCTTATAGTATCAGTTTTCTCTATTACAATGGAAAGACAACACACGTCATTCCATTACGTGGATTTCCATTAGTGAACTTTAACTTGATCCCATACACATGTTTCACTCTTTCCACATCCGTACATGAGGGAAAGCGACTCAGGACATAAATAAGGCACAACAGGGTGATGACAGTGGAAATAAATGAAAAGTCCAAATTGTCACCTCTTCAATTGGAGGACAAGAGGATAATGAAGACTCGGAAAAGAGATGAACAATAACAGGAAGATGGAGATTTCACTATTTCCTCTTCTAGTGGATCTCCAGTGCTGTCCATTATACCAGCTGCAGAAGAGTGCCACACTAATAAAATATTCCCAGCCAAGATTTTCAGCGAGTACAAGGACTCGCGCCTTAAAGCCTGTAGTCACAGGCTGGACTGTCTAGACTATGCTCTACTCCCTCTCCCCAGGAAAGATGCACGCCGTGGTTCTGTGAAACTCCACGTAGACAGGATGTTTGAAAGACGTACAGAATGACTGAGGTCTGCTTAATAGACACGTACACAGGGGTTTAGGTTTAAAAACTATCCCTTTCCCTCTTGTGCTATGTCTCCTCCAAACCCTGTCTCATCTGGAAGAACACAGAAATGCATACTCTAACACGCAAACACACCAGCTTCCATATGCCAACTCCATTCTCATCTGTGTCCGTTCAACACACACAGTCACAAGCGAATAGGGCACAAAGAGCACAGGCGGTCAAGCTTGATGGAAAATTCTCATGGAGCTCTGAGGCCCCATTGGTCCCGATACTAGTTCCCTGACCAAAATCACAGGAAACCCACACAGGAAACAGTTTCACACAACAGGGCCGCAATGCTTCCTCCGAAAAAACATAAAGTAACCAAATCTCTGCTGAATGCAACCCTCCGCCCCCTCTACACCCTTGAAAACACTCAATCTGGGACAGTCTATTTATTTTACCCACCCAATAGCCATGTAATCAAGCTTTCTCTTCAAAACCAACAAAGAACAAAAAAAAGAAAAATAGCCCTGCAACAACAAAAGAATGACAAAGCTGTTATCAGAGGCGTGCTAACATTGTAGGTATTGTAAACTGGCCCCCAGTTTGGGAACCAGTCATACACTATGTTGAGTGAGTAAATAATAAGCAGTGTCTCAAAAGTGAGAAAAAGATTGTTTGTAACACTTAGACTAATTCTACAGATAAATCCTTAAAATAATAAGAAAAAGTTCATCTTAAAGCATTTTGAAACAATAATGCTGTGTTCATAAAGGATTATGACAACATTTACACAAAACATGATGCAAAAATAATGTCTTTTCATACACAACATTAGCTTCTCGATTAATTATATGGTCCATAAAATGCACATCAGTTAATATCTCTTACTTAAGGCTGCTGACCAGATGATGGATTATTTTGAAGCCCACATTCTCATCCCTTAGTTAAGTTAGCAAATGGGCCAGTAGTTCATAAACTTGGTGCTTCCATTAATGAGGCTCCTGCTATAATAAAAAGCAGACGAGATGTTAGGGGTGTTGTCTGTTTATGCCATAACCTTGAAAACTCCACCCCCCCTCCATTTCTCCATCCATCAGACCTTGAGAGTTGGATGTTTTCCCTCTAGTACAGGGACACCCCAGGGTCAATTATGTGTATGTGTACCTTTGTGGAAATACAAGAACTGGTTATGTGCCTGTGTGTGAGTTATGGTATAAGTCGTCACACCCAAATTAAACTGTTTCCTTAGGACAGTTGTATGAATCTGGATCGGGTGGCCTCTTGTCTCAGGGCTCCACCTGCCCTCTGCACACTGCTAAACTGCTATTAAGATAAAGAGCCATGGGAGGAAAAGGTCAATCTATCAGCCGTTCTTAAAAGCTCTCAGTGGAGTGCTTCTTTCTTTTCTCTGACAGCGGAGGTGGAGGTAGGTTTAGTGCACGCTTTCCATTTCCCTGAGGACTGGCAGCCTATTTATTCTACAACGTATTCCCCAGAAGACGATAAGTTGAGCGGGATAATGACTGTTTAAGTGGGGTTATGTGCGTGTCTCACCTCAAGAGTCTGCATCAACGTGGGCTTGATGGCATCTTTCATTAACACCGCCAGAGCTCCACTCACACCCTGACAGGGAGGAAGAAAGAATAATGAGGGCGGTGGTTGGAAACGAAACCAGGTCATCAAGATTCAGACAAAAAATTAACCTCACTAATTCAAAGAACTGATACAATGAAAGCTCAAATGGTTATAGATGATAAATGGCAGCACAGTCCATTGGTAGGTCTCTGTCTTTTATGCAGTAAAACTGCAAGAAAACTAGCGTCCAAAATATGCCTTGTCAGCAATCTGGATACACTTACACACATATAGTGTACACACAGTCATACACCATATTCCCACTGGGTCTGGCTCTTGAAGTGTGGTGATGTTTTTGCATCCTGACTAACCAGACTAATGTAACTTTATAGGGGATCCTCCTGTGCAGCTCTGAAACAACACAGGCTACAGTTTTCTGTGGGAAACCACAGCCAGCTGACCCCACAGATGGATCTGGTAGGTGCTTAAAGTCTGACTAACATCTTAATCACAGGTTACACCTAGATTAGATGTTGTTTTGAAAGGAGGAAGTAGCACTGTAGTGTGTTTGGAGCAAGGGGGGGAAATGGGGAATTTCTAAGCTAAAGGTTTGTCAGAAAATTGCAGAAAGGACAGTGGAGACTGAATGATGGTAATTGAGGTGTTTTTGTACACACACAGAAAAACTGATTCTGTCTGAAGAAGATTTATCCTAATCACTGTCTGTGTCTTTGTTACTCTGTATAGCTCTTGTGTGTTTTGTCTATCTATCTATCCCTTTCTGCCAACATACTTTTATTGTTAAGTGGGATTTAACGAAAACTACTCAAACTACCCTTATCTCCCTGGTTTGGAAAATTTCCAACCAACATATACTACGCTACAGTTTTCACTATCAAAAATGTAGTTGAGCTCAAAGCATAACACACCAAATCTTCACACTCCTTTCTGCATCTTTATTTATCTGAACTATTAAAAGACAAAAGTGGAGTGGACTCAATATTTTCTTTGTAGAAATTCTGAGATGTAGTGATGATAAGCCAACTGTGACATTGCCAGAGTTAAAATTCCCACACTCCCTGAATGAAAAGACCACACAGTAATACACACCAGGTCCTCTGTGGTGACAGGCTGTCCAGAGCGGCTGGTCCCCACCACCATGCGCGCCAGTCTGTTTTTCATGTCCTCCAGGCTGTCTGCCAGAGCCAGGATGGCCATGATCTCGCTGGCCACTGCAATGTCGAAACCAGTCTGGAGTGTGAGAAATCACACAATCATAAACAATGCAAACCACAAGGAAAACAACTTGAAGTTTTTGCACAGTGGCCACTGCAGCTGGTGGATCTAAAAAAAAAAAAAAAAAAAAAAAAAAAAAATCTGATTTTAACAACTATCACATAGAGAAGCAGAAATTCGATCGTTTCATGGTTGTTACTGTGGGAGATCATGTGAAAGCACATATGATGCAAAGCAATTTCAAAACAAAATAAATTAAATTAAATGTCTGACCCGAGTAACTCTCCAGACCACATTGCTGTAGTGATCACACTATGTGGAAAAAAATGGCAACTTTCCACACTAGCAGACAAAAGATAAACTAGACATTATAGTCACCAGATCTATCACATGATGACTTTTTTTGGGGGGGGGGGTGTTAAACTCTAAACATTTTTAATGGATTTTTTGTGTGATTTTCTCTATTGATTTATGTCAAAATAACAAAAGGAGAGAGACTGAGAGAAACGAGAGAAAACAAGGGAATGAGAGCTACCCACAGGGAAGAGTATGGAAAACCAAAGAAGTCTCCATTCCATGCCAAAAAAAGAAACATAACTTAAACCACATCAATCCACCAAGGAACACAACATTTCTATTCCCACTCCCAGTGATAATACCCTGAGGGGCTATAGTGTATCCAGCACTGGAGGAAGGTGGAGGACTCAGGAATGGAAGGGAAACAGAGTGGATGAACTGATGGTGGTAAATGTAAGCATATGCTGAACTAGCTTAGAGGTTGCTCCAGGTGTGTGTGTGTGTGTGTGTGTGTGTGTGTGTGTGTGTGTGTGTGTGTGTGTGTGTGTGTGTGTGTGTGTGTGTGTGTGGGTGTGTCATTTTTCCCCTTCTTTAAACATTTGCTTTCACTTAGGCCTGCTTGCTTCCCATTGAGGTGAAGTGTTTATTTACAGGATTTCATTTAGCTGTCATTACAGACATGTGGGTGAAATACATCTGGGCTTTATCATGGACAGAGGAGAGGGGAGCTGAGAGCAGTGTGTCTGTGTGTGTGTGCATGAAAATGTTTTTAGACACTCATCGTTTTACAGTACAACTGCTTGAAAATAATTTTACACTCATGTTAATGACACCCACCAGGAAAGCCTCTGCAATGGTAACACTGCAGTGAAATCAGTGAGTGAATATTATATAATATTATATAATATTATAATTAACTTATGGATGCCTCAGTCCAAATCTGACACAGCTTGCATACTCAGTTTGTAAAGGCATAAATGCTGCATACTTCTCTGATCTGTCCTTTTTCAGTGCTCGCCTGTCCAACTGTGATCTTCCTCAAGAAACGGTCATTTGTATCAACAACTGAAAACAAAGACAAAAAATCAGTTTGATTTCCTGCAAATTCCTCATAAAATCATTGAATTAAAGTTTATAACACTTGTTTTTGTAGTTAAACTACCATAACATCCACTAAAGACACATGAGCTTTAAATTAAAGTAGTAAATATAACTTGATCTGATGCACCAGACACACATAAGATTTAGCAGCTTGAATCTGACAGACTGTAAAAATCAATTTCCAAAAGTTGTTAAATAGATGGAAATGTACATCCACAGGCTTCCACACATATAAAGCCAATAACTGACAAAGGCAGAGAATCTTATCTGTTATTGTGAGTAGGTGTTGACATATGGAAAGTGCTTATGCTACAAGGGATTTGCTACTTAAAACTTTCTTCACTCAGCACTTAGCGTATTCTCTGATAATTTAGCTAGAAATCTGTTGCTCTGTGGCTACTCTGTTGTTACAACGAGCCGGGAAACCACAATAGTCAAACATTATTCTCATGCTGGTTTGATAAAACGAAAGTGAAAGCGAAAAATAACGGTTTGTCTCATGAACACATGAGACATGCAGTAACACCCACACAACATTAGGCGGTAAATCTGTTTTTAATCTCCAGGGTTCGTCTCTTTAGAATGCCCTCTGGAGCCCCTGCAGTAAATACCACATCAGTCATAGCAGCACCCGGCTGGCTGTTCTCACCAACAACATTAAACCAACACAGCTACCACCAAGGTGGCTGTTCCCGCTCATACCATACCCACATTTATCATCCCCTGACTGATAACGGAACTACTTCTACATAAGATGTGTTAATTCTATATAAATAAAAGTTCACAAAGAGCTATCAATGTCAATTTTCACTGATGAGAATTCTGATATTCTAATACTTATTGTAGAATTGACTTTATTCAAAGGAAAATATTTTTCTAATTGAAGACTGCATGTGACATTCCTCAGGCATGGTTCACTTAGAGACTGACTGGGCTGTGTCATGTTTGTCTTTGATTACAGTATATTAGATTTGTCCAATAGCCATGATATCAGTATAGATCAAGAATATGACATTGTGTTTGCAGAAAATTAGACTGGCTGCTCTGTACAAGCGTCAGTTTGCACCTATTTAGTTGATACCATATAACCATATAACAATTCTGCTTATATACAACATGTCGCGCTGATTGGTAAGTAAGTAATATTGTCAGTGCAACAACAAAATTAATACTGGATTCTACAATCTGTAGTTTGAACATGTTTTAAGTTGCAAATAAAGCTTTATATTGAGTATAATGCTTGTTTTATGCAAAATTACATAAATTGTGAAGAGGAGTGACAAAAAGTAAAAAGGAATCCTACATTTCAGACATTGTTTCCCTTCAGCGTTAAATCAGCTGATCTTGTTGTGAATTCCTATACTTCTAGAGATACCTCTCTGCCAGGTGATCTTGGAAGGGTCAAGGTCAAGACGGACAAAGGTGCTGACTTCCTCTGGTGTGAGAGATGCTGGGTCTGTTTTATTGATGCCAAGGCGCTGGAATTGAAGAGCAAAGGAAGATTAGGGGATCATCTCTTAAGTGTTTTCTGGAGAAGTGATTTTTTGGTTTTGATTCCATCTGTCTCCAGATTTCTGCCCAAGCTGTGTCACAAATGCTAGATGCAGCGGTTTACTTGCCATCTTCTGACAATTTCACAATTTCTATACTTTAACATTTTAAATCAAAATAGTAGTATTTATGTTACGTCCATATTATCTGGATGCACAGTATCATCCAAGCATGTAAATATAAATCAAGACTAAAGGACTATGAAGCAATCAACTCACTGTCAGGTTCAAAAGGTTCATTGGGAGAGCTCTGTTTAAAACCACAACTCTATCTCTCACTCTGTCCATTAAGCCCAATAAATATTTTATAGTCCTTTTAACTTCTCATTCCAGAGACCTTTATCCAACAAGAGAAGAAAACATTGAGGTGACTTATGTTCAAACTTTTCCCTTCTATGTATATAGAAGAAAGGAGTTTGTATTTTATCTGTTAAGAATTGATAGCAGGCATTCTTCATCAACAATAAATAAAATAACATTACTTACAGTCATGTGAACAGACAGGAGTTTCATGAGACATAAACAAATATTTGGAGATGAGGATATGAAGGGGTGGGGGGTGGGGTGGGTGGGCATTTTAGACAGGCTCACTGAGGTCACATAGTGGACAAAAGCATTTTTTAAAATAAGAAATAAACACAACAATCTTGCTGGTTAGTAACTGTGGTTGACACCTGTGATTTTAGCACTGCAGTACTAAGACTTACATGTAGCCTTGAGATCTGAATGGGAGAAAATCTTCGGACTCCATTCACTGAAGGGACCAGTCTATTAAACAGAGCCTTGGGGGTATAAGACAAAGTAATGCATTACATAATGCTTGTAAAGTACATCTAATTTCATCTTGGAGGAAAATTAAATTAAGTTCTTGAATAGAATGCATCACATTAAATACACAATCCTACCAAAAGAGATTACATGTATTGGTTAATATTAATTGTCTCTGTGACACATGTTTTATGCCTCTCTGTGAATATTTTGTGACATAATATACATAACATAATATATATATATCTCAGTAATAAGATTGTAAAATGCACACATAGGGAGGTTCACTGGTGTGGAGCACTAAGAACTAGTCATATACAGCTATCTGCAGCATCTTAATATGTTTAGTAATGTAATTAATCTCAATAGCAAATCACTGACACTGTTTTGTGCAATCAGGACTGTCATTGTATTAGTGTCCAAGTCAAACACTTTTTCAGAGTGTGGCGTAAGAATAAGTTATTACTGAGTGACATCATCACACAGTCACCTTGTCTGATTGCGTCGCCTCGTGGAGCATCCTGGCATCGATGGCTGCTGCCACCAGGTTATTGGCAGCTGTGATGGCATGAATGTCACCAGTCAGATGGAGGTTAAACTGAAGGGCAAGATGAGAGGAAAATGAAAGAACAAACAGAGGTGAAGGGATTAGACACAAAAACACAAGGAATCAAGGCACCATTAAAGTAATGCAGTGGTAAACATGGTGGGAATGGTCAGTGGAAATAAAACCTCTCACAATGAGGGTTAAAAGGCTGTCAATATGGTATCACATGATAAATGTGGCTTCAAACAAAATAATCCTCTCATAGTTTTGACTTTGTCCCCTTGGTCTTTAAGAATATTATTTTCTCTGTCTGCTATGAGCCCTTCAATTTAAAGCTAAACGAAACATGATATCTTTTTACACTAGTGCAGCGAGAAGATGGAGAGGTAAAAGGAAAATGCTAAAAAAAAGCTGGTGTTTTGATATGAGAAAAGGAGTTTGGAGCTTTGAAACGCCTGTCCTTTTCTCCTTGCCTCCCCCCTCTCACCCCTCCCTCTCCATTTTTATGGACAGTGCCTTTAGTCACAGGCAATGTTATGCTACAGCTCCAGGGGTTGTGAGTGTGCACATGTGTGTGCTTTGTGCAAACTGATGGGAGTCCCTGCACGTCTCGAGTCTTTGAAGCATGTGCTAATCCTGGTAGGGAGCACTGTGAGTCTGTCTGTGTGTCTTACCTCCTCCATAGGAATGACCTGGGCATATCCCCCTCCTGCAGCTCCCCCTAGGCACAAAGAAGTGGTAGCACAGTCAGAGGCAGACAACAGGACAGGGACACACAAAGGAGGAACGCTGAGTGGTGGACTCTTGGTGAACTATTCCACCCCGGCACAAAATGTAGCATGGTATGAAATGCTGGCCTCACACTGACAAAGATAGCTTATCACACAGTTATTGATACATTCCTAACTGCTGCTTTAGGCGCCAGTCTCTGGCCTTGGGTGAATAATAACATCCACCATTTGAAAACGCTGAAAATCTTTTCAAACATGAAAAATACAACTCCTTCAAGATTATGACTACAGTTGTTATTCTTGTAATAGTTTTCTTACTATATTGTATAATAATGCAGCCAAGAGACAAGCAGAGAGCCCAGAGAGGTGAAAGCAAACTTTTCAGACAGGATATGGAAGTATTCATTTCTGACCTTTAACCCCAAAGGTGGGTCCCTGGGAAGGCTGTCGAAGACAGGCGAAGGAGTTGAGCTTAAGATGAGCAGACAGAGCCTGGACTAGGCCAATGGTCACTGTGCTTTTACCTTCGCCCAGTGGGGTGGGAGTTATACTAGACATACAGAAAACACAGGACATTTTTTGAATGTCATTTCTTTTTGGTGTGGATAATGAAGAATTATTCAATCTATGTGCATTAATGTCGTAACCACAGTCAACTGTTGATACATATGAACTACAAACCATTATTCAGAAATAAGTCACGAACTGTTTCCAAAGTAACACTTTGAGGTAATGCCATAAAATAAGTATGGCTAGGGTGGTTACTTGCCATTGGAGAACCAGTATAGCTCATTTCTATTACATCACAAATTTAAGCCTTAGAGAGCACTGAAGAAGTGACACTCACCCAGCAACCAGTATATATTTCCCATCAGGCTGTGTGTGAAGGCGTTCTAACAGGGAAAGTCGGACCTTAGCTTTGCTCCTGCCATAGGCTTCAAGCTCTTCTGGCAGCAAACCAACCTCCTGAGCCAGCTGGTCAACTGGCTTGGGTATCTGAGCTCTGGAAATCTCTATATCACTGACAAACACAGAAAACATGACAAATCATTCAGATCATTTAATTTTAAAACATGAAATATACTGTATGGTCAATGTCTCCTAAACAATTATACACCACACTCAACCTTATTCATATGACATTTGAATGTTGTGTACATCCAGGTAGATGTAGTGAAATTTCTAACAGTCCCTCACAGACAGTGGTCTATACCTTGGTACAGGCATCAGGGGCTGTAGTTTGAGGCTACGCAGACGCCAGGGTCGGTACTGCTGCTCCTGGATCCACCGACTGCAACTACGCAACACATTCTAGTTGATGAGCAGAGGAAATACACCTTGTGAGAACAAGGTGGAGAACAATAAAGACAGAAGATATTAGGCAAATGGGGTGAGATGTGGAGACGGAACAAAGAGATGCACCTGTGCTCTGTAGGCTGCTGTGAGGTACCCTAACCCAGACTTTGAGGACATCTCAAGGGCATGTTCCACTAAATGAAAAAACAGCAAGATTAATGCACATGAAAAACAAAACACGAGAAACAAACAACTATGTCTTTAGATTATTTGGATATTAATCAGCCATAATCTCGTTGAATGCTTCCTGAAAAGGAGAGCAGGAAACAGGATTCAAGAAATTTAAATAAATGGTTTAAAACCCATGCAACAGACAAGGGTGCGATGCCAAGAGGTTAAGTGGTATTTCTTTCTCACTACAGCTCAAACCCACACAAACTGATTGTTAGGACTGTCACAATACATTCAACAATACCTGACCCCAGAGTGGGCTCACAGCGAATGACAGCAGCCCCTGGTCTAAACCAGGTGGGTGGGACATCCATATTCCCTTCCTCTAACAGGACCACAGCATCAGCCTGCATCACCTAGACAATAGACAAAAGCAAAAGTGAAGAAAATTGTGTATTCAAGAGTGTAGAAGATGTGTGTGTTATGTGTATGGCACATCCACCAGAAAAACCTCTACAGAAAAATGTGATTCATCAGTTAAAAAAAAAAAAAAAAGCTTTCAAGTGGCAAAATTGTTTGCATTAGCTCTGTTACAACAGATCACATTTTATGACAATGCGGAGACTGACCCCATGTGGTCACCTAATAAAACTGCACATACTTTAACTGGTGTTACTGAATAATAACAGAGTTTCAGTTATAAAACAATAGCATTAACAGTAAGGGACCCCACCAAACACTCTGCTCTTTCAAGGACTAAGCTTCAAACTTTTTACAGTCACCTTTCAGGCCAACAGGAGGCCAGATGAGAATGGTGCTTAAATACTATTTTGGATGGAGAAGTGATGAGAAGGAAGACAGCAGAAATGATGATGAAATGCTCACACACATACATACAAACACACCTGTCTCTGTAGGCTTTTAGGGTTCCAGTTACTCTTGAGAGCAACCATTCCACTTCTCTCTATCAGGCACTGCAGGGCCAAGCCAAGGGGTCCTTCTCCTCCAACCAACAACACTGTTTTTCCTTCCAAAGGAGCATCTATAGAAATGTTTTCAATCAACGTTAGGACATAAACTCACTTCATTCATCAAGCACTTCTACATTTCACTTACCGTCAAGCTCATGTGTTCGTGGTTAGTATTAAAACGCTGACCATCTGGACATGGATGACAATTAGTCCTTTAAAGTTAATGGTCATAGACTTTATATTAAGAAATGTATCACCCGATATACTGATGCAACTGTATCACTTTACAAGACATCATGTGTGTTGAAAAACTGCATCAAGTTAGTGAATCTTTACTAGTTGCATCAGTGATACTCAAAATAACTGTGACCCCATGCACATCTGACTTTTGATCCCTACCCTCTGAACCCCAGCATGTGTCTCAAACTGGTCCCTAGTTCAGTAGGTAACCTGGTGAGTCAGCCATTTTCTTGTGTGTAGCTTAAATAGGGTGTCCACACTGGAAAAAATACAATAAAATATAAACTCTTTGGAAAAATAGTAGCTGCTCTTTTTTTCTACATTTTCAGCAACAATACGCAGATAGGCTGTGGCATTCAAACAATGATTGACTGGTATAAAGGGGCCCAAACTGTGCAAAAGAAAACATTCCCCACAACATTACACCACCACTACCACCAGCCTGGACTGACATGAGGCAGGTTAGACAATTAGAATTAATTTATACTATGCATTTGGGACACAGTGACAGTGCCATAGCTGGGTTAACACAGCTGTAGATACTAAAAATAGTAACGAGAAGGTTTTGGTGGGCCACAATAAAACAGATTGCCAGTGCCTGCTGTAACTATAGCTCACCTTAATCAAACTAACTCATTATTTTTTATCAGCTACAGCTGTGTTTTCCGTGCTGTGATGACTCTAAAGAGTCCCTGCAGAAGCTAATGTAATTACAGTTACAGCTACATACAGACGGAAGAATCAGGATGACAATGCCCCCATCCATAGGGCACGTGGGATCACTGAATGGTTTCTTGTGAATGAATATAATGTAAATCATATGATATGGCCCTCGCAGATCTCAACTCAACATGAACACATATGGGACCAGTGTGTTAGAATATGCTCTCCACCACCACCATCAAAACACATGATGAGGGAATATCCTTTGGAAGAATAGTGTTCATCCCTCTATACAGTTCAGAGACTTGGAGAATCAATGCCAAGGAGCACTGAAGCTGCTCTGGCAGCATGTGGTGGCCGATCACCTTACTAAGACACTTTATGTTGGGTTTTCCTTTAATTTGTCACCCGTTTGCGCATCAAAGTGTTTGTATAGTTTGTCCTTCACTTGTCATGAGTGAGATCATTTTCATGAGTTACAGTATAGCCTACAGAATTCACAAGCAACCGAACATGGGACCCAATTCCTTTCAAAGAAACTCACCGTGTTTCTCCAGCAGATCCAGGACAGCGCTGGCTACGGGTGACACGAAGCCTTTGCTCAAATCTCCTCGTACCAAACGGCCCATATTCAAATCTGATATCCTATTACAGGACAAAATGGACATAAATATACAATATGTCAAAATTAATTAATTATTCTTCTCCCTGAAAACTAGTCACTTTTTACTGGTCTAAGTATTAAAATTATTTTAACTGCTATGGGTAATAGTGTCAAATACCATCATAAAAAAACTATTCAAAAAATGGATAAGCACCATGTACACATGATTTATGAGCTAATGGTAAGGCTAACACTGTTGAATAACATTTTATAATATGTATTATAATGCATTAAAAATTCATTAAAAAAAACAACTGCATACATTTAGCTTGTTGTAGTAAATCAAAAGCACCATATTGCATATTTCAGTTTTTCAAAAGGACAACCTAAACAAATTTGTATGAATGTGTCTTCCACATGTGTCCTCAGCTGAACCAATTCTCTTCAATTCATGATGATTGTGAAGGGTGCCTTGCTAATTTTCTCATTCACTTTGTCTTAATTCAGTGCAGCCCTTTCTGATTTGGGCAGAAATTTAAAGCATCACGAGAGTAAATGCATTTATCTCTGCATGGACAAGGAAACATACACTGCTGGTGCACTCTACCTGCCCAGCAACTGAATACATATATATATATATATATATATATATTATATAAAAATACAGTTTTTAAGGCAGGCAACCTAACACAAATGTGTACAGTTAGGACTATATAATCAGTATGTGCTATTTGGACATGATATACTCTTCATTATTATGTCTTTCTATGTGAAAACAGAACACTCAGGTATTATAATAGTCGCTTTATGACCAAATATGATTTTTACCCGTCTATGTCCTTTTCAGGTTTGAGAGTATCGAGCACTCGAGTCGTGACTGCAACCGGAGGAAGGTGGAGGTAGACACCATGCACCCTGGGGTCCTCATTCAGCTTCAACACCTCCTCCACAATCTACATGCACACACAGATAAAAAAAAATCATTTACTTTTCACATGAGATTTACATGTCTTCAAGTAAAGGACCTTTGTTCTTTAAAGAACACAGTAAATTGATTAAAAACAAGGGAAGAGAGGGACAATGAAAGAGAATTTGCACCATCAGATTTAACAGGTATGTGCTGCTGACCAAGCAAAGAAAAAAGATGTAAATCCCTGAGGGAATGAGAAAAAGAGGAGAGAAAGAGAGAGAGAACGAGAAATATTTTGAAAAACGAGAGGAAAGGTGTGTGAAAGTAGAGCAGTAGATCAGTAGAGCAGCAGAGTCCTCCAAAGGTCAGGAATTGTAATGTAAATCTTCCACTGTCAGCTGAAATTCCTGAGCTATTCCCAGCAGTTTCCGCTTTCTGTATGCATCAAGAGTCAGCTTCCAGCTGGGCGAAGAGAGCCACAGCAGACAGAGTGATTCCTATTTCCAGTTATAATCTGATGGAAAATAGCATTAAAGTAAAAAAAAAAAAAAAAAGAACCTAAGGAGAACATGAGTTAGGAAATGAAGGATTCGTCATGTAACAGTGGAGAAATACTGACTTGCAGTTAAGTAATGATTTAATGAAATAAAGCTTGTGAGTCATTACCTTGACTTTTAACATAACCACTGTGATCACATGTAGCATTGACAAACTGCCAGGGGGAATGGCAAATCATGCACTGACTTGCTAAATAAAAACGGGGGAGGAATAGTTTGTATGAGCCAGTTTCACTTACTTCATCTTCACTGCACTCCTTTGCCAGACAAATCTGAGTAATGTTCAACCCAATCTGTGGACATATAGACGAACAGATTTTGAACTGTTTGAATCGTTGCGCATATAGTCAACACGACAAAATGGGCAAAATTACTAAAAACAGCAAGAGAGGGAGAATTACCTTTCCTGCCATTTTCTTATTGATCTCCAACAAGCTGTCATCTTCACCTGCCTTTGAGATCAAATCAGCACAATGAGAAAAACACACCGACCTGATAATACATGTTCAATAGCTTCAACAAAAACAAATAACCCTAGGTTAGGGCAAAAGTAAATTGGGGTAAAGTAGGCTTAATGTCTCAATATGACCAGCACAAGACAGCTCTGCCAAGGTAAACTGTCTTTACACTACTCTTTTCTCTCAGGTTTGACAATATTTCAAGACAACCTGCCAAAAAATGTAAACCCATAAACAAATTCTACACAGTACAGAGTACAGTACTTCTATTTTTACCTGGACAATGGCTAACAAAGGTTGAATTGATGGATTTCTTCTCTGCAGAGCCACCATTGCCTCCTTAGTACTCTGAACCACTTCTCTGTGAGAGAAAATAAGCTGGTTAGCGATGGCACACAGGGTTTGAAAATAAATTCAAGTCAAACACATACATTAGGCCAAAGAGCCAACACAAAAGTGGACAGCATTTAGAACTACTGTAATTGTGGGCTAACTGTGGGGAAAGCATGAAACACATATTTGTAAATTAGAATATAAAAGTTCTAAAGTTCTTCCAATTTTAATATTTAAATAAAATGAATAGTGAAATTAGGCTGTTGCACACTTTGGGATCCCTATAAACAATAAATCCTCTAAATAAATGGTAACATGCACCCAGTTGCACCCATTGGCCATCCTACTGTGCACTTTACTATTTTCAAATGTAAACATGAACTAGATTAAGTCCAACTCAAGCAACCACATACAAAACAAATTACATTAAAACGTATGCAAAACACATACAATGATGTTAGTGGAGTAAACAAGTCAAATAACGTTTCAGTAAAACTCGTCAGCACCACCCATTCACCAATGTGTGTTAGCTCAGTTCCCTACAAATTCAGGCACATTTTCGCATCGTGTGTTTAGCAACAGCGGAGTAAAGTTACATCAGCTGGCTGCAGACCCTCTGATGTTGCCGGGGACACGTGCAGAGCTGGCTGCTAGCCAACCGCTAAAACGCCGGTGATACAGGAAATATCGACCACCGCTCATCATTTGAACAAAATGTTACTCGACAGTCTTATTTTCAGTAAAATAACAATAATAGTAATATTAATAACATATAGACAACGGTAATTGAGTGATGTTTGAGTGCATATATTTAACCGCACATATTTCTGTTTTACCTCAAAGAACTGTCGCATTCAAACCCATCTTCCTTCCGGGACTGATTCCCAAAGTGGTCGGCCAGTTTCGGGTTGGTACCGCGGCTGGCAGCGTCGCTCGCTGCCCGGAGGATCAACCGGCTGCTGGCAGGACCAACGGGTAAGCATCTCCGCGACAAGCCGCTGACCCTGCTTCTTGGATGTATCCGAAGACTGCTACAAGCACTGCGAATCATAGACAACTTCATGATAACTTCTTTTGGTGTTTTTTATGTGGCCTTTAAGTTTTTCCTCTGTTTGTTTCTCTTGCCGTAGCCGGTGAGGAAGTCAACCTCCGGGAGGAACCAAAAGAAAGTTGGGGAGGCGACAGGGTCCTGGTGGAGGTGCGCTGTCTTCAGGGACAGTCGGAAATGTGAACATTCACAGGGTTTGAACTCATGAACAACCCCATAAATACCACACATAGAGAGGCGCTCTATGATAACATCCATTTGACGTTCTAAGTGCAGAAAACATGCATGTCACGTTCTTAAGATTGTTCAGCAACATTTCGATAGTGTTTTGATCTCAGTATCAATTACATGAGTAGTGCGCATCTCTCTCTCCTGCCTTAACGTTACTCGCTTAACTACTTGGAAAGCTTGCTTCAAATATTACAAAGTCCCTGGGAGTATTGAATTTTTAAATCAGAGCTACACGTGAAAGCAGCAATTTTACAGGATGAAAGCTGCACCAGCACGCGCAGTCACGTGATATATTGACACAGAGGGGTCAGTTCAGGCCAGGACATTTGGGTTCACAATATGACCTATATTCATTTAGGACTATGACCTTTCTAAAGAGAGTATGGTTTTTATTTCCAACTTTGACCTATAGGCCTGGGGTCATATTGTGGCACTGACAAACTCCATATTTTTACATTCCCCAGTATGATAATGTATACATGAGAAGTAACACAAAAAAGGGAGAGTGAGGGGCTGAAGGTCGGGGGGATGGACCCATAGACATACAATGTAGGTGGCATTCATTTTCTGAGGGGGAGTTTTTCCTTTTTCAATTTGAGGACCTAAGGAGAGAGGGTATCTGCAAAGGCCCCTAAGGCAAATTTGTGATTTTTGATGTTGGGATATATAAATAAAATTGACCTGATTTTACTTTTCATGGCATTTAGTAATCATGCAAATCGCGCGAACAACTGAAAGCTTGGTCTACTTCCCTGGAGGTTGGTGATCAAAGCCAGCAGAACAACAACGACACAGAACCTACAAAGGCCCTCAACACCATGGAGTCCAAACAGCACCCAGAAACAGAATTTGATTAAGATTATGGCTTAAATTCATTCAGCTGTGTGAATAAGTATAAAGATGAAATATCTCCTGTCTTTTTGTTATATCTTTTTCTTGCGCCTTTACCCACTTCCCTCACCTCCTTACCCTCCAACCCCAAACCTGTATCCAACCACCCTTCCTAAAAAATAAAGATAAATAAATAAATAAATAAATAATTCAATATTAACCTATTTCTGTCTTTATGAATACAGAGATAGTAAAACACACACCTACAACAACCTGACAGTAAAGGTTTCAGGTATCTCACCACCTACCAGAGTTTATACATTTATAGTCTTGTAACATTTTCTTGAAAATCTGTTACGTCAAGATTTCTATTCATTTACAAAATGCAAAATATCTTTAAAATCTAAGAAAAAAACCATGATACAAATCAACATGTTTACTTCAAACAAATGTATGTGTGTTTATATGTGTGTGTGTGTGTGTGTGTGTGTGTGTGTGTGTGTGTGCCCACATGTATGCATATGAATAAGAAAAAAGAGACATAGAACAAGTGGTCATCTGGCAAAAAGTGTCCGTACCAAGATATAAAACCAAACCTGCGTCGTTGATTATAAATAAGGGAATTAGAATTAGTTATTTCTGTAGGTGTATATTCACATGAAAAGAGAACAAAAGTTAATCCTTAATCTGTGTATTAGGTACACCCAGATAAAACTAATGCAGTAATACAACATCTCTTCATGAAGGTTATAATGTTCAGTTTTTGCTGTTCTAGAGAGGTGTCGATTCAATTTTATGGTCATTTTGGAGGCTGCAGTTTGTGGTGTCGTAGAATTGTATTGCATTATAGGGATAGGTGTTTCTGTTATTTTGTCCACCCCCTTAATATCAGTAAGGGCAGGCTATCAACACCTCTCTAAAACAGTTTCAACAAAAACTTAACATTATAGCCTTCATGAGTACCAGTACTTGAATCAACTAGGTGTATTTTAAAATTACCTAAAATAATATTTGATGCATTGTGTTTAGACAAACGGTGATTAATATGAAATTAGTACACTTGCAGCAATTATAATTCTTGTTTACAGTGGGCTGGGGGCATATATAAGTGTTCGATCTAATCAGGGACAAAGAAGCTGGTAAAACATTGGCGTGTCTGTAGCTCTGTGTTGATCTAGTAGAAGTCATTAGGGCGTGGCTGCGAAAATGTTGACATCACAGCACCGCCTTGTCTCTCTCTGCTCCGGCACCGTCAGGTTTCACGGCCGGCTGCACTCGAACATACACTCTTTCACAGCGACTTTATCCCACAGGACAAAGACGCAGTGGCCAGTGATTTACATATGTTGTCATTGTGATAAATAAGCAGAGAGATCCCCGTCAAAAAACACATGTCGTGAGCTACTTAATAACTTCTTGTTTTATTCTACCCCAGGAAAAGGTTAGGATATGGCCTACTAGTTTAAATTGTCAATCACTTGCTTTACACACCCCAGGCTGTCCAATTGACTCTCCTAAGATGCAGCGTCACTGCCAGGCCAAACCGACCGGGCCTCATTCCTGAAGTCACATCCTTACAGCTGCATGGCGTGGCGCAATACATCACCCTAACAAAACCACGGTGGAAAACGAGCTTTGGCTCCAAAGATAGCTGCATTACGCATCTGGGCCCTTTGTTTGTGCTCACGGCCCAGAGCAGTCGACTTCAGATCTTTAGGATGGTGCTGTGGCACCGCGGCCACCTTACATTAAAGGACAGCGTGTGATATCTGTGGACATCAGAGCAAAACAGGTAAAGGTCTTTCCTTTATAGTCCTGCAATCATGAATGAATATAAGTAGGTTTGACATAATTTCAGCCCGCTGTTGATACAGGAAATGTTTTGAATGTTATAAAAAAAAATCATGATGTTGATGTGTTGATAGCTACTCTGTAGAGGAGACAAAAGCTGATGATTTAAACAATAAGTTAGCCATGTTTTCGGGAAAAACATACCGTTATGATTTCTCCTAAATAAATTTCTTCAAAATAGATATACATGGTTTTTATATAAGTTTTTTACCATTTGTATCATGAATTGTCTCATAAAGCCTTAAGGTACTCACAAAATGACTAGGTGTTGCCTGTAACATTTACCTTTAAATATTTTAACCATGAGATTAAATAGTTACAGATCATCTGATTAATTCTAACTATAAAAGGATGAGTGTTTTTGGAGGAGTATAAAGTATTGTAATAGTCTAGAACAATGATGTCCAACCTGTTGACTTGAGTCTGTGTGTATGTCAGAATTAGTCAATTCCAATATTTTATTCAGTAGATTTCAACATAAGGAACTGTATAAGGCACACACAGCTACGACTATTAGCCAAAAGATTTCCTGAAATTTGTGAAACTTTAGTCTAATAGCCTTTGAAATGACTTCTAATGACGTCACCAGCTTCCTTATTTCACATTTGAAATGTTTTCTTTAGACTATTCCCCGAACTCCAAGACATAACTCTGTCTGACGTTCAGAATCTGATGCCCTAGTTAGAGTTGAAGAGTTAAAATGAATGTCTGGATAAAGACGTCAGACTGATCGCAAGTTAAAAGAACTAGTTTGGTAAGAAGCAACACCTTGGACTATTCTTTTGAGAACCTGTTAGACCAGTGACTGGTACTGGGTGGATTTTATCTGAAGGAAGAAGGAAAATACTTTTGAACAGGCACAGCAGCTTAAATTAGACACTGGATATGTTTAAACTTGCAAATTAGAGAGTTGTTTTGTGAATGTAATCTGTATCTTTCTTTGATTTAGTTTTCTCAACCTCTATATGGCGAAAAGTTAAATCAATTCCGGCCCACTTTTAATGAGCCATGTTTGCCAATGTGTGTTAGAAGAAAGATAAACAGACAGAGAAAATCATCTTCACATCCTAAACCAAATCTTCTCTTGCTCTGCAGCCTAACCATGAGGGACAGACTGAGCCACCTACAGGAAATGTCCAGCAGCCATGTGGAGCCAATGGAGTATGAAGAGTTCACTGTCTCCGACTCCTTCAGTAACGTGGACCTGGAGGAGGAGTTGCCCCATGAGGCAGTAGTGTTTGACAACAGCCCTGCTCTGGTGGAGGTCTTTTCCCAGTCACAAGATATCCACAGAGAGATCCAACTCATCCGCCTGGAGGTAAAAAGGCTCCGTGAGCAGAACTCTCGCATGCTCCAGGGCGTCACCACCATGAGCACTATCAAAAAGGACTCTAACACCATTGGTGCTGATATAAAGGCTCGGGCTGAGGATGTTCTAGCACGCCTGCAGGCCATGGATGGCACAGCCCAAAAGCTAGAGGAGGCGCATGGTTCAAATTCTGCCATCACACGTATTGCCAGAACCCAGTATGCTTGCCTTAGCAATGGTTTCCGTGATGCCATGTTTGACTATAATGAGGCTGAGATGAGCCATCGAGAGAACTGTAAAGCCCAGATCCAGAGGCAGATGGAAATAGTGGGGCGTGAGGTCACAGGAGAGCAACTGGATGAGATGATAGAAAAAGGTCAGTGGTACATCTTTAGCGACAACGTGGTGGCTGAAGGTAAAACAGCTCGATCAGCTCTGTCCCAGATTGAGAAACGTCACCAGGAGTTGTTGGACCTGGAGACCCGTATCAGTGGCATCCATGAGATTTTCCTGGACATTGCCATGTTGGTGGAGGAGCAGGGCCCCATGCTGAACTCCATCCAAACTAATGTTCAGAAAACTGATGAACACATACAGGATGCCCTTGTCAAACTTGGCAGGGCCAAGCGCTATGATAAGAACAACCCATTTAAAAAGATGTTTTGCAGCTGTTTCCCATGCATCGACTAATGTACAGTACAGAGATGGGTAGAGTGATGGGAAAATATGCAAAGTGCTGTCCAGAGAAAGAAAAGAGGGAGACCCTAAGGAAATTAAACACATTATGTACTTGTGCTTATCAGTAAGTATTTGCCAACATAGCATGTAGAGTTAATGTATAATAAGATTTTTCCAGGAAGTAAAATAAAGATTGGGAAAAAAAAAGGTTAAATCGAGGATGTCTAGATTGAGAGACAAAAGACAGCTATCAGGTAAAATATTTTGAAATTATATTTAAATAATTCTTTGATGTCTGTAGTATTTTTGTGAAAGGTTTGAGACAGGTATCTCAAATCCGAATTCATCCCCCATGACTGAGGTGTGATGCAGATGATAATATTTTCTGCATTACCGTATATATAAATTATGAAATTCATGGGTTGATAGAAACTAGTCATTTTGTCCTCCGTTATTTTCTAAGGAAACTGGTAACTAACAGCATTTTGTCTAAAGATTTATTATCACTCTTGATATTACGCAGAGATCACACTGTTGATGTGTTGTTATGTATATCATCATACTTTTCACTGCCTTTTTATGACGATGTATAATGCCTTATTTTTGCCTTTATTCTCATGGTGACTTGTATATAACATAAACAACTGTATTAAAATACGATTGTGTTTATTCTTGTTTAAATCTACATCAACGCATGAAAATAAAGACTTGAAGAGTTTTAATCTTTGGTATACATTAATGCATTTTCTTAATTTAAGTGAGAACTTAAATTAAGAAAATGCTGATACACAGTCACACCAGGGGTACTGCTAAAAATGTTGATTATGATAATTAATATATATGAGCCCTGGCATTTTCTAGGTCCTTTGTCCAGCTTTGGGTCTCCTAAATTATCCAGGGTCCTCAATGACATGACCAAACATACATCCACACACACAAGTGACATCACTCAAACCAACATGTGGCAGCTTGTTTTGCATTGATACAGTGGTGAAATGTCAAATAGTTAAATTCCTCAGATTTCCAATCTAAATTTCTCATGAGCACTTGTTCTGGATGCATAATTTGAAAGGAATGTCGTCTTACTTAACTGACCCTGTCTCTTGCTTCCTGAAGTGAAAAGAAACTTTGTTGGGGGGGGTACATCTCTCTTCAAGGAAGTACCGAGTGTCACAAAGGGAAGGCTGTCACCTGGGAGTGGAAGGGGGCGGCAGTCACACACACATGGTGAACACCCAGTAGACAGCCAGCTTCAGAACAAATACATGCTTTACCATGCGCCTTGGACCAAATAAATGAGAGTGAGAAAGACTGAAGGATTGTGTTCTGGTATTGCGGGAGCCAGTCACATCAGGTAAGATATTTTAATTTGACAACTAAATAACATTTGATTGATTTTGGTGTGGCAGAGGCAGCTGGAGACAAGTGGATAATTGATAGGACTTAATTAATGCTACACTGCCCAGGCAGCTTGAAACGTTAGGAATGATTCAATCATAGTTTAAGTTCAAAAAAAAAGTTTAATTGTTTTATCATATATTGGGACAGCTTTTAAAATAGTTTCATTAACTTTTACCAGCATAAAGAATGAGGAAATTGATTTTCTGTGTAAAAACAGAGTGTATGATGGGGTCAGTGACAAAGATGTAGGCAAACCCCACCAAATATTGAAAGTTTTGTCCAGCATGAGATTGACAAAACGAAGGTACTGAGAACAACTCGGATATATAAACATATATCGCATATGTCTTCTGCCATAACCACACTTTCAAAAGATGTGTCTATTTTTCAACAAGATAGTGTCTTCCTTGTTCCTGGTTTAAATGACAACATTCCACTGAGGTGTGACAGCTGCCATTGTTTGCCACCAAAGAAAGAAATCCTACTGCAGGTAAAAATGACCAGTCTTTGTGTGTAGCAGTTTCAGTAGATTTCATAATAGTGACTTATGCATACAATCAGCCAGTAGACTGTATATTTAAGCCCTGTTACCACAATGTTTAATGTCAATTTCCATGTTCCCTGGCTGTGAGGGAGTTAAGCATTTTAAGTGTTAAACCTGATGAAGATAATACATCAAATCAAAAGCTGGAATAGAAATGAGTCCAATAACCAACATGTTGTTTTACACTGGTCTCTCAGGCAGAATGCGGGACATGCTGGAGAGGCTGCAGACCATTAGTGAGGAGCAGGAGGACTATGATGAGGACTATGATGGAGACAAAATGACTCTGTCTCAACAGGCAGTGGTGTTTGAGAACTCCTCAGCTATTGACAACATCCTGAAGGAGGCCCACTCTCTACGCAAGGTGATCTCCTTGCTCCACTTAGAAGTTGAGCGTCTGAGCACACACAATGAACGCTTTGGGACCTCTGTGCGACGCCTCACCCTACTCAAAAAGGACTCGGACTCCATCGCCAGGGCGATCCAGCAACGTGGGGAGGCTGTGTACATCCGCCTGCAGGCTCTAGGTAAGGAGAGCAGCCAGCTGGAGGAGAAAGAAGGTCTCAATTCAGCTGTTGGCCGCATAGCCCGTGTTCAGTATGACACACTGACCCAAGCCTTCCACACTGCCATGAGTGACTACAATAAGGCCGAAGAGAAGCAAAGGAGAACATGTCGGGGTAGGATCCAGAGGCAGGCCTCCATTATGGGGTCTGACATCAATGATGAGCAGCTGGACGTGCTGGTGGACAAAGGGGGTGAAGGATGGACTGAACTGTCCCAGAGTCTGCAGGCACAAGGTACACGCTCACACCGGTGGGCAATGTGTGAGATCAAAGGCAGACACAAGGAACTAGTGGAGCTGGAGGCCAGGATGAAGGACGTTCATGAACTGTTCCTGAACATGGCCATGCTGGTAGAGGAGCAGGGATCCATGATCAATAACATCGAGTCCAATGTGTGTAGAACTCAGGAACATGTTGAAAAAATCAACGTTCACATCAAGAGGGCCATTCGGTACAAGAGGAAAAATCCATTTACTCAATGTTGTCCCTGTCTACCCTGTTGGAGACACAACCAAACATTTTAGAAATGATTTTGACGTTATGCAATTTTGTGGATGATTGAAAACTGACATAAATATTTAGCTGTGTAAAAGGCTATGGCCAGCTGAGAAGAAATGTTATACAATATGCTTTATTTATAGTAAATCCAACCTTTACAAGGACACTCAGTTTTCCCCTGTTGCCCTGAAGAGAAGCAAACTGTATTTCTTTACCTGATGTAAGAGGTTTTCAACTGTTCAAGGTTGTCAGAAGTTTGATTAAGAGTAAAATAACTCCTCAGAGAATGAATCCAATTGTGGGTGTGGGTGCTTGAGAGAAGTTTACATTTTAAACGGAAGTTATTTTAATTTAAGTTGAAACTATTCATGCTTTAAGCAGTTCGCTGATATGGAAAATAAATTCTGTTTTAACAAATGAAAACCATTTTGGAGTCATGAGAGTGATGAGTAGCAGTAACAATGGAAGGAGAGTGAACAAAATGCAGTTAGTGGTGCTAAATAAGCTGCATTTAGAAGAGTGGCGAGGATGCAGAAATGCAAATTATCTCATGGTGAGGTGATTTATGGTTGTACTTTAGCAGAAATCTTATCCTGGTCTGTTGTAAGTGGGAGGAAATTGAGGCAGACATAGAAGTGAGAATGTGAAAGCTGAAGTTCCCAAAAATGATAAGAGGTGTATCAGGTCTTTAAGGCTGATCAGTTTGGTTTAAAATATTAAACTGACCTAGTTAGCATGCAATTATGGGCTTAACAGGGTACAGAGATGGCATCTCAACCAACAGCGATATTAAATTTTAATTCAGGTGTTAAAAATAGGAAATGACGCATCATACCCCGTTGAAAAATGGGGAAAATCTGTTTGGACAAATCAGCCGAATCTTCCATATTTTTATTAGTCAGGCAAGCTGTTAAAAATTTAGATTGAAGAAGAGACATGTCATGTGATCCATTGACATGACCTAACCTATAGTGTAAAATAATGGAGTTGTTACCGAAATGGCATGTCAGACAGTGTGGTATTAGAAGTAAAAATTATGTCAACAGCTGGTGGAGTTGGGTTCATGAATGAAAAAATCCACTAGTTTATGTTGCCCGTTTCTTTTCTTCTGAAAAAAAAAACATATCATAATTATCCAATTATATATTTTATATATTTCACTTTATTGTATTACTTTAAAACTGACTACAAATTACCGTGGAAATGTATGTCGTAAAGAGGTATATAAATAAATTAATAAGGACTTGGTCGCGTCTGTCCTGCTTAAATGGCTGGATCTGACAGGCTCAGAAACATCCAGAAGTAGCCGTTAGTGTCGCTTCAAGTCTCACAAGTTTTTACGGACTTTACTTTGCAGCTTCACCTGCATTCCCTAGATGACTACAGAGATTCCATTCTGTCTTCTTGGTTTTTTCTTTGCTTCGTACCTTTTTTGGTCATCGTGTGTGGTGTAGTTTTAGCCATACTCACCACCAAGTGTGGCTGAATCGTGCCGAATTGAGGTCCAAGTCTGCCGAAACTTGTGCTATATTAGTTAGCATGTGCTAACGTTATTAGCTGCAGATTGTAGTTGGGTATGGTTAGCTATCTTTCTAGTAGTATGGTAACGATATGTGTAGCATGGGTTTTCGCAAGCCAACAAGCTGATTTTTTGTTTTTTTGTTTTGCCAAAGCCGTAGTTACGGCGGTAGTTTGTTCAAAAGCTGTGCCATTAGCAAGTACGCTTCGGTGCTACTCCACAAGTTAGCTGCTAACCTTGTGCTAGCATTATTGTTGCTATGCTGCATTGTTTACACCGGACTAGTACAACCACGACGTACATGCGGCTAGTGTAGTTGTTGTTTGAAAATTAAACACAAAATAACAATATACAATACATGTTTGTGTTCATTTTTTCAATGGGAAGTGTGGTAGGTTCGGGTGTGTATACCAGGATGGCCGAGTGGTTAAGGCGTTGGACTTAAGATCCAATGGACATATGTCCGCGTGGGTTCGAACCCCACTCCTGGTAAAGTCTTTTGATGATGTCTCTGTCACATTCATAAAGATAACGCAGACAAACATAAAGACAGTGTCCAACACAGACAGGCATCATAAAGTAGAAACAGAATTCATGATAATCTGGATAAGCGGGAGACGACGAGAATTCATGATATCAAATATACGCTAGGCTGCTGACTTCCGTCTCCATCTAAAGCGCCACAATGCAGTCATAATATATAGGGTTAAAGCGAATACAACACGAGCTTCGATAAGTCGCCATAACGTGATAAAAGCAATCCGTTGTGATAGTAGACAATGTTTCTCTGCTGTGATCGACTAGTGTAAGACATGTAAGGACACTGCAAACTGTCCTTCCATATATCAATTCTGTTTTTCTATTTCATTTAAATACAACGTTTTTGTAGCTGCCTGCATTTAATCTAAAAGCATGGCATCTAAATTAAATAGTCAAGATCGACAGCGAAGCAGTTTTGATGGTACAATAATGCTGAATTATCTGATCGGTCAAACAATAAAGAAGTTAGGCTTAGAATATGATATGCAGTAGTATATAGTGTAGTACGAAGTAAGCTGTTCATATATTTTTATACAGTACAAGCCCCCTTCCCGCTGGCTCATTCTATTAGAATATTCATATATTTGTCATATTTGATGGATGTGTCTATGTGATGATGCCGATACATTTTGACAAGGCTATTTGTTGGGAACATTTATAAATTTGTGGATATCTGTTGTTTTTCTTCGCTGTGCTTGTCTAGTAAAGTCCTGTTGGCTAATGTAGTCAATGTTTTAGGAGTATTTGCACCTTCCAGGACAGAAGAGGGCGCTCTAAATCGTTTTTGCAGTCTCTGGGCTGGAGTCCAGCACTGGCCCACTGGAGGCCCACACACTTTCATCCCTATAATTTCTCTGCAAGGGCGATGCCTTGGACTCATGGATACCCAGTCATCTGCATCTGACACAGGAAAAGCTTCTCAGAAAATAGCTGCAACAGCTCTTCTAAAGTAGTTTTTTGTACCGTAGACACATAGATCAAGAAGTGTTAGATAGAAAAGACGCCTATTGAAACCTGTTGAAATTCCATATAGGTCTTTTGCACTACATTGTACCACATGTCAAGCAGTTTTGTGACAAAATGCAGTAGATAACTGTATGAAAAAGACAGTTGACTTGAATCCTTAAGATTTTTTCATTTTACAAATTAATCTTTGTAAATATGTCAGTGAACTTATAGGTTTGAGTTCCCTTGTCTTGTTACTCCCTCTATAACAACCACGAACAAGTATACTGTCACTTGATAGGTGTTCGAAGCCTAAGAGAGCACTAAATTGTGAAACTGAGCTTCTTGTTTGAGCTGTGTGAGGAAGCATCCACAAAAGAACCTGACAACTGAGAAGAGGGAGGGAGAAGGATGAGGGCTTACAATGGAAGATCAACATATCTGCATCCTCAAAGCCTCAGAGACTCTTTCCAAGGGGCCTTAATCTATTATTCAGTCCCCATAGGTACTGGAAAAGTTGTTGCTTTTCAGGTCAACACATCACATAGTATAATAAAATGAAACCTGATCCAAAAGATGATGGAAGGGTTTATTGAAACCATTATTATTTTGTAATTTTATTTCCCTCATCTTTTAATGTATTTTCATATTTTAAGTGCATTTTAAATGGTCTGCTGTTTGTTTAGTTTTATTTGCATTTTGTTTATGAAATGTGCTATAAATGAAGTTCATTATTATTGAATGAAATGTTTTATATATTAAATAGCCTGCATTCATTTTAAAACAATGAAAATTAAATAAAGTAGATTTATAGCAAGTCATTCTCTGTTATATGCAAATTTATATTACTGACAAAAAAGGTGAATTAACTAGATTTTAGATTAAACTAGGACACGTACATAAGTACATGTTTAATGGCTCACATGTTATGCCGATCTTTAGTTTTTCCCAAATTTGCCCAATAATTTCTAAGAGTTTGTTGTGATAAATGTGAGTCAGTGGTGGAAAGTAACTAAATACATTTATTCGAGAACTGTACCATACACTTTTGAGATATTTTACTTGAGTATTTCTATCTCTTGCTACTTTATACTTACAGTTGACCAACTTTTAGTGGGAAATATTGTACTTTATTGACAATACTTCCAAGTTACTTTGAAGAATTTAAATCAAAACATATGCTCAGTCAATAAAGTGGTTTAATCTTTTTTCCCAACAGAGTAGGTCAAACTGAGTCTACTTTGACAAGCCGCAGCATTTACAGTAAATGCGGCTCACATGCTCATGCATCAGAAATAATAATCCAATAATATAATATATAGACCTAATAAATGACTGATAGGTCCATTCTCTACATAAGGAGTTCATACATTATGGTAGTACACATTTTTGATGCTTTAACTACAGTTTGCTGTACATTTATTCCAGTAAGAGTTTGAATCTTTAGTTTTTTTTATATTGTGGCTTTGCTAGTTGTTCACAGTCAATAGTTTTCATCATTTTGGTGAATGAAACATTAGCTACACATATATTTCAATAAAACGCATGGTTTGGTGTAAATAGTCAATTTTTGGTGCCTTTATGTGGAAAAGTTTCACAAACTCTTGTCCTAATAAACAGAGTAGTTATTATTCCACACAGTTTCTTTTAAAGCTTTTTGTTTTCCAGTGGGAATCACTGGTTTCGCTGGTGTTACGTCACGTGACGCCCACCGCGCCATGTTTCCATCTCCGCGTCAGGAAAACTTTTACAGCCAGAGGGAAAAGCTCAAGTCCGTTGTCAAGTCACCCAGTGTGAGCGCTGTGGCTCCGGTCCAAATCTTAAAAAATAAATTTGGCTAACGCGGCATTCACGAAATAACAAAAATGATGCCCATAGCGAGAGAAAAGCGGTAATCTGTATGAAATGGCAACATCACTGTTGTTATGTCACTGGCCGTTAATGTCAAAAAAGTCATTTAAAAGTTCATACATGCAAGCAATAGAGTGGCAGTGTGTCTGTTAATGCTGGAAGCCTTAATGTAAACCGATTTTTTACATTACCAAACGCGACAAATGATTCCAAATTGTCGGAAAAGCGACTGCTTTTGACAGTTGATTTGACTTCACAGTGATCTTTAGAGGCTTTTACTTTGAAGGACGTGTTGAAGCATATCCGCTACGTTTAGCTAACTCTGCGCTGATTAACACTGCAAGCAGCAGGGAGAAAGAGTCAAGTAAGCAACAGGAACAAAGTTGTGGGACCTGAGTCCACAGTACCGCGGTGTTGACGCGTGAAATGTAATAACCATCTCTCCGTTTCCAGGAGACAGCCTGCCGTGCGTTTTCAAGAATACGGTAGTTGTGCTTTGCTTTGCGTGGCAAAAAGGCGTCTCTAAAGCTTTTTTTCCTCGCACATTGTGGAGACTGGATGCGCTTGTGGACGGTTGTCTTTAGTCATCTAGTTAGTTAAAAAGAGTGCCTA